GTTGAATTTTGTTTGAGGGATTGAATTATACATGAATGGTGAAAATGATTTGAAACAGGGATAATTTAAATAATTAAAAATCAAGTATTACAAGTATTAGAAAGGTTTGAATCAAAGTGAATGAATCAAAAAAATGTTGAAGAATCGAATAATGCATGAATAATGAGAATGATTATAAAGTAGGGAACATTTAAATAGATAAAAATCCTAAAACATCCTATAATGTCCTCATTGAGCTAAATTTTTTGAGCCCTGCATGGTTTCTGTAGCTCAAAGATTGTAGGAGGAGATAGATGACAAAGTTTGTCAAATAACTCTAGTGAAAGGTTATAAATGTAACCACCAGTGCTATGTGTACTGAGCCTGGCTTCATGTGTCTCATAAGGCTGTTAGAAGCAGCTTTCCAACCAGCTCTGTGTCTCCAGGTGCTCCAATTGGTTGCCATGGTGAAGGTAAATGCATCACTACAGCAGTAGAAAGGGGGATGGAAGCTGAGAAAAAAAAACCAAAACTATGCCCTAAAGCTCATGTAATGGCTACATTCATGTAGAAGAAACTTGTGAGAACCCCACGACTCTGCTGAACATATTGATACAATAAATTAACAAAATCCTAAATACACCCCATAATGTCCTCAATGAGCTGAATTTTTAGAGCGCTGAATGGTTTCTGTAGGTCAAATGTGCGGTAGGAGACAGGGGCTTAAGTTTGTCAAGTGCTCTGGTGAAGGGTTTTAAATGTAACCCTCAGTGCTCTGTGTACTTAGCCTGGCTTCATGTATCTCATATGGCCATTAGAAGCAGCTTTTCAGTCAGCTGTGTGTCTCCAGGTGCCCTAATTGGTTGCCATAGGCAGTTACACACACACACACACACACACACACACACACACACACACACACACACACACACACACACACATATTGTCAGACTGTGTGTGTGTGCCTTGTTAATGATTTTATCCTAAACAGCTGTGAGATCAAAGGCATTAACTAACCTACTGTTTGAATGAGAAGCTCTTCTTCGCCTCGCCTTCGCCTCTGAACTTCTTCACATAGCACGATTCCTTAAATCCCAGAATGAAAATAAGAACATAAGAGCGGGATTTTCTTAAATCCCAGAATGAAAATAAGAACATTGTATGAATCCTCCACCCTTAATGAACACAATGATGTGTTTTTCATGTCTGTACTCCAAAAAATGTGGCCACAACAGCGAGTTAAAAAGGTCTGAGCCTGAGCGATAATCAGGATTTTTTTGGACAAAAATTACATTAGGGCCAATGCGAGGGTTCTTTGCAATTTTTGGACAGTTGGTCACCTGCTGGCCAAGGGGTAGGATTTATTGATTTGAAACCTCTTTTGTGAGAAGCAGGACACATATACCTCCATTTTGATGTGTTTTTTATGGCTGTGGAGTGAAATTTGTGGGCGTGGGAGCGATATATTCGAGCGAGGTTTTGTCGATCGAAAAAGCCCTCTCCACTCCAGCGATGACATCATCACTGTAGCTCTTCCAATACACACCCATTATAAAGCCTGAAAATATGCTGAAAACCATTAGGTGCATAAAGCTAAATTGTGGAAAAACTGTAGGAGATAGCACAAAAAAGTCAATTCAACATATTTAGAGGAGAAGATTGGGAACTTTTTAAAGCAAAAATAAGGTCTGTAGGTGAAAGTATGCTGAAGTTATAATGCTGAAAATGTGGAGGTGTAAAAGGTAGAATTTGAAGATTTCCCCATTCATTTCAATGGAAAAATTTTTGCACAAAAAGTAAAAAATATCAAAAAGTATAAGGGGTAGAAAAGTGAAAAATAAATCTGCACTTGTCCTGAAGGAGAGGAATAGTTTAAAAGTTGAACGCTTGAAATAGCAGCAGGTATGAAGGAGTTGAAAAGTTGCAAAAAAGGTATGGAATAATAATAATAATAATAATAATAATAATAATAATAAAGAAATAGGAGAATAACATATTAAGTGGAAATGCTTAATCAGCATTTCCACTTAATAAGTGTAATGATAAAGAAAATGGCCGACAGGAATAACAAGTGGAAATGCTTAATCAGCATTTCCACTTAATAAGTTTAATAAAGAACAGGAAAACAATAAGTGGAAATGCTTAATCAGCATTTCCACTTAATAATAATAATAATAATAAAGAAAAATGGCTGACAGGAAGAACCATAAGTGGAAATGCTTAATCAGCATTTCCACTCAAGGAAGATATCAATAACATATAGTGAGAGTGCTTCGCAATCCCACTCAAAAAAGATATCAATAACATATAGTGGGAGCGCTTCGCAATACCACTCAATAAAGATATGAATAACATATAGTGGGAATGCTTCGCAATCCCACTCAATAAAGATATGAATAACATATAGTGGGAATGTTTCGCAATCCCACTGAATACTAAATATATGAATAACATATAGTGGGAATGCTTCGCAATTCCACTCATTAAAGAAACAGGAGAATAACAATAGGTGGAAATGCATTTCCACTTAATGAATTCAATAATAAAGACAATGGCCGACAGGATTAACAATAAGTGGAAATGCATAATCAGCATTTCCATTTAATAATCTGAAACAACAACAACAATAATCATAATAATCTGAAACAACAAAAACAACAATCATCATGATAATCTGAAACAACAATAATAACAATCTGATACAACAATAATAACAATAATCTTAATAATCTGATACAACAACCATAATAATCTGAAACAACAATAACCATAATAATCTGAAACAACAACAATAATCATTTTAATAGTCTGAGATAACAACAATAATCTAAATAATCTGAAGAAACAACAACAATCATTATAATCTTAAACGACAACAATTATATTAATATCTGAAGAAACAACAATAATCATAATAATCTGAATCATAACAATAATCTGAAACAACAACAATAATCTTTATAATATGAAGAAACAACAATAATCATAATAATCTGAATCATAATAATAATCTGAAACAACAACAATAATCTTTATAATATGAAGAAACAACAAAAACAATCATAATAATCTGAAACAACAACAATCATCATAATAATCTGAAACAACAACAACGATAATCAGCTGCTCAACAGTTCAGGGTCTCTTTCTTTAGTCAACATTAAAGGGATATTCCAGTGTAAAATCAATTAAATGTTAAACACACCGTAACACTGAGCAGGGTGACGCAGCTCAAGGAAGAACATTTCTTTATCATTTCCTTGAAGTAATAATCACCATATTAAACATTTTGCATTGCAGACGTGGTATTTCTTCTGCCTCAGTGTCTCGGTCTGATTGTATTTCCATGAAGAAATGATCATAAATGTTCTTCCTTTTGTGCGTCACCCGCTGTAGTCCCTAATGGACTGGCCTGAGGTCTCGCTACAAACAAGTGGCTGCTGGAAGAGAGTAGGTGAGTTGTGTTTAGTCTCTTTGCCAAGTTGAAAAGATGTTTGGTGGCTAGTACTATGGCTGGGACCCTATATGTACTGTTGATGAAGTTAGATGCTGTTCTGAACATTATTTGTGGCTATAGAGTGGTGTTTTGGTTGAGGCCTGTTTATGGCTCCTCAGACCGCTGTGTATTGCTGTCCTGTGGTCGTTACTAAAGTTGGTATAACTAGAGAAGCAAGTGGTCAGCAACATTCATCTCTGGAGGGGGTGTCTTACTCAGTGTTACGGAGTGTTTGACCCTAAAGTAATTTTGCACCTGAATATCCCTTTAAATGATCTCAGGTCCAGAGAAATCTCTGGTGTTTCTGGATCCTGTTTCTGGTTTTCTTGTTTCATTTTTCAGCTTGAACCACATTTGTGGATGCATTGATGATTTTTCTAAGTGACTCTGAGTCCATGTGGTGATTCCCACTCCTGTCTGTTTTTAATGCCCTGAAGATAAGGACCCTCCAGTCCTGGTTCTGGTCCTGGTCTCTTTAGTACAGAGATTTCTTCAGATCCTCTGAATCTTTAAATGATCTGATGTTCTTTAGACAATGAAATCCACTCAGGGACTTAATTCTGAAACGGTTGAACTTTTCACTTACGCAGTCTCTCACAGAGTCCTGAACCTCTTCCATCTTTCCTTCTGAGAGACTATGCTTCTCTGAATGTCTGCCTTAGATTCAGTCATGTGACTAACCTGTTGGAAACGACTTTTGACCTGTTTGGTTGTTCCTCTAACTACTTCTCACAAACATGTTACTGCATTCAAACTGAGATTATAGTTTCATATAAAAATAACAGTTTTAGTTTTTCAGTAACACTTTGGGTTCGTGGTTGTGTTGCCTAATGTACAGAATCCTATTCTCTCCAAGTAAAGGCAGAAAAGTCTGAAAATACAACCAGAAAAAAATCTGTTTTATCATTTCATATGTTGTATTTACACTAGTTTGGATCGCTGACAACAACAGAATTAATTTGACTTTAATTTTAATTTGACTTTGGAGACAGGCTGATCATTGTCTTCTTGAACGATTTATTGTATTCTTCTTTTTCTTTTTCTTCTTTTTCTTCTTCTACTTCTTCTTCTTTCTATTATTATTATTATTATTTATTTTTTATCATTATTATTATTATTATTATTATTATTAGTAGTAGTAGTAGTAGTAGTAGTAGTAGTAGTAGTAGTAGTAGTATCATCATTATTATTATTATCATTATTATTGTTGTTGTTGTTGTTGTTGTTATTATTATTATTATCATTATTATTGTAATAAAAAGGCCGAAAACCTGCCTCTTCCTGTGTATATGGTATTTAGCTCGGACCTGAAATCAGAGCTGATAGCGCCCTCTGCTGGAGAAATGTAAGCACATGACCATCATACTGAACACAGGAGAAGGGTGTCTCTGCAGAGCCGGAGAGCCCTGCAACTGCAGTTCTACGCGTGTAAAACTGCAGGAGGCGGAGTCTCGAAATCATGTAACCGCCCCCTTTTTTTACTCCTCTTCGTTTTCGTGTTCTTTGGAGAAGAGTTGTCAATAGTATGCAATGGTCTGTAGCGGAGTTTGTTGATCGAACCGTGAGTATTAAATGTGAATCCACAATTTATTTAGCGTCTCCAAAATCGTTCACTTGATTTGAATGAGAAATGAATGTGTGGTTGTGCGGACGTTAATGATATTTACCATGATAGTCTGGAAGACACGTCTAATATTTATCTTGGTTAAGCCAGCTAAAGCTATTGTTAGCTTGTCGGAATTGTATAACCCGTAGACGACAAGCCGCCATTATATTTACTGAGACTGAAGTACGCTGACAAATAATTTTAGCATGTGTATCAGATTGAACATAAAAAATGTATAAACAGTTTAGGCTTTCTGAACCGAGATGTCCCATACATGTTGGAAATGTCTTTTGAACGTATGCATTTTTTCGTATATTATATCAGGTATTTCTTAGTATATCATTTATCATTTAATCAATTATTTTCAATTGTATGCATATCATATGTAATTGACATTTAGTCCACATTGCTGTTTATCGCGCTGCAGAAGAGAAACTACTTGTTGATGTCATTCTGCAGTCCACAGGAGCTGAGCAGCATTTGGTGGTACTTTGTTCACACACCATACAAAATAACTCACAGCAGAGCTTCGGTTTGGTGATTTGCCTTTTCTAATTACCACATGATTGTTCTCTGTTTTGTCTTTGTTTGTCCACAGGATGTACTTCAAGGGAAGCCCTCACACTGGATAAGACTGGAGTCGTCAGTCAAGGTGCCTGTGTACCTTGACAGCAGTGACAACCAGGACCGTCTTTTTAATTTTTTGTTTTCAGTGCTGCAGAGAACAAACACACAACTGTCCTTCAGTAATCCCATCAAGTTCATCATGGATGTTCTTTTTCCAGAGGTATTTCGAGCCCAGTTCTTTTTGTTTTCCATCACAGTTTTTTCTTTCAGGTTTTTCAATTTCAAATATTAATTTACCCAGCAGTGATTATTTTCATTTCCTATTGTAGTGAAGTGGAAGAATTCTGTCGGTCAATTGAAAAGAAAATGAAGAGGGAAGGAAACCTCTGAATGGTATGTAGAGCTGTTACATACTTCACAATCTGGGCTTTAAATATCTAAGTCAAATGTCAAACATTTTATTTCTATCATGTATCTTTCTTTCAGGACTCATCCATCCTGATAATTCACATGAGGCTGCACAAGTCCTGCAACAAAATCCTCAATTTGTTAATAAAAAAATATGTTTACTACAAGATGTGTTGTTTGTTTCTGAAGTGATTATGGTATGTTTTAGACCAATTTTACAAGGTTCAGCATGTTTCTATGATATTAGGACAACATCATGACTCCATTCAATGCTATAGAAAGATAATTAACTACTCTAATAATGAGAGAAAAGAACTTGCCCCCATCAAGGGACTTCAAACCTGCATTCCATATGAATTTAGACTCTTGTGATGGTTGTCTCCCATTTCCTGATGCTGCTTTTCAGACATGGCTCCATCTTCCTCCTGTTTCTCCCAACAACCACTCAAGTCACAAAGAACTGCTCTTTACCTTAAGATTAAAACACTTAGCCACTTTGACAAAAGGCTAATTCTTGGTGGCTTTATGATCAAAGGCTTCTCCATGGCGACAGCCTTTTTGCACAGCTTTGTTCTTGATAGAAGACATTTTTTTGTATACGTTAAGAGCCAATCATATTTTTTTTGTTGATCACCACAAAGAATTACCTGGAATGACAATACTATGAAATTTTCACTCAAAGGGGTCAAATTGTCATCAAATGTAATGAATAAATAATAAAAAGGCAAAGCCGGTCCCTACAGGGCTTCAAGCACTGCACAGCTTGCTTTGGCTCGGGCATTTAAAACACTGGGTCCAGAAATAAATATTTTTTATTACATTGAAATTAGATTACTCCTAACTGTTTTGGATGGAATAAACCTAAATTCTACAAGGTGTTTTGGGTTAACCAAACCTTAAATACTGACTGTCAGCTCATATTCCGTTTTTTTTTTCCAGCAAAATAACACATTTTATCCATGTAAAGAAGTCCAATTACTGAACTGCAGCACCTGCATTAGCACTGACCTACCAGCATGGGGCGCTATCACGTGTAGAACTGCAGCATCTGCATTAGCACTGACCTACCAGCAGGGGCGCTAACACGTGTAGAACTGCAGCGTGTAAAACTGCAGCTGCAGGGCTCTCCGGCTCTGCAGACACATACTATTGGGAACACAGACCGACAGAGGGACATTTGACTTTATAATGACATATAATCAGTGTAATTTACAGGGTTTTGTTGAACTCTGACTGTCAACATGAACATTAAAGTTCAGACTTAGGTTTATTGAATATTATAGGATAAAGATATTGCTGAGTCTCTTTTTTTTACTTTTTACATTTGATCTAACATCCAGTCATTAAACTCATTAAAGTAAATCGTTTTTATTATTTACCCTTTTTCTCACACAAACGTGTAATAAAATGAACCCCGGGTAAACCAAACTAGGACATGATATTAAACATGAATAAAACTCTTGTTTTAGAGGGAAAAAAAGTGTATCATTTAAATATTACATGATGTAAGGATTTTAAAAAACATGGAGTGAATTTTCTGAATTATTCGCCAGTTTTAGCGCCTTCATCTTTTTTATTGACTACACTTTTTTGTCATTATTGACAGTAAGTAGCTGCTAATGCTAACAAACTTAAACCGTGTTAGTTAAAACACATATAAACACTTACCGTTAACAGGTACAGGTGAGAATCCTCCATGATGACCACTGTTCACATGTCCACATCAATAACTAACAAATAACTGATCTCAGATCGATATGTTTGATTACAGACGAGTGTGTAAGGGCAGCTAAATGCTCTGCTAACATCTGTTAGCTGTACGCTGTAGGTCAGTGCGTTACCATGACGACAGGTAAACGACCACAGCACAGAGTGACAACCATAGACTGTCTACGGTGACGACAGGAGCAGGACAACAACCAATCAGAGAGAGGAGATTTGGGATTAAAATCCATGTACTACTTACTACTTACTACTGCCATAACAATATACTTAATACTGCCGCTGCTGCTACGTTTGAAATACAAATTTTAAAAAGCTAAAATTAAAAATTAAACTCACCAATTACTTGGAAACATTCTCTTTTTGAAGACCTTGTCGAAAATTTGTGGATTTTATCCATTTTTAGAGAATATTTAGGAAATAATGGGGAAAATGTCAATGTGGTGTAACCATAAAAACACAGTACCAAATATTTCAACTTCTTCAAAAAAGGAAAAAAAAAATTAGGCCAATATTTTCAGCATTTATCCTGCTATATATTGCAAAAATGCATTCAATTTTTTTGTAAAAAAAAATCCTAAAAAAATTTATTTTCAACATATATTATAATTAAGTAACTTTTTTACACTTGCATACACTATAGGTGAAAATAAGTATGAAATATTTCCCCTTTTGTTGTGGATACACCACTTGACATTTTCAAGGAAAATCCATAGTTCATTTTATAAAAAAAAAGTGTAAATGCTATTTAAAATTATATGAAACAAACAGAGATACAAAATATTAATCTTTGCAAACCTAGTGCAAACTTTTAAAACAATTTCTTCAAACATTTTTGAATTACTCATGATGCAAACCCTTATGTGTGTGTGTGTGTGTGTGTGTGTATATATATATATATATATATATTAATATATTAATATATATTAATTTTATATTATAATATATATATATATATATATTATAATATAAAATTAATATGTATATCCATTGTATATAGTCTTCTTTTTCAGTCTACACTGCACTAGAGGATTTTTATCTTGTTTATAGCCTGTACCTATTATATATATATATATATATATATATATATATATATATAAATACATATATATAACTATTTTTGTACTTTTAATTCGGTCTTTGTTTTCTTTTTTTGTATCTATTGCACTGAAAATGCTTCTGTGCCTTCTGTATAATGACAATAAAGCGCATTCTGATTCTGATATTTAAACTGTTAAACTTTACGCAAACACTTCAACAATAAGTATTAGTACAGTGACATCCAGATCACACAGAAAATTGCGGGACTTAACTCATAACACTTAATTTTTAGTTTAAAGTTAAGTTTAAAATTAAGTTTTAAAAGGGGGGACTGATAATCTTTAATCTCTGATCTTATAATTCTGTAATGAAATTTATTGATTAAAATTATGGTCTGGTGTGTGTCCCATAAAAGTGTTTTAAACTCGGCTAAAATTGTATCAATAGAGCTTTTGTTTTGTTTGACAATCTTTAATTCCTTTTTAAAGGTCAGAAAAACATTTTAAAACTGTTACGAAAGCTAAATGATTCAGAGTCTTTCACGTTCATCCATTTCTCTGTCTGTAGGTTTTACTTCGTGGTTTTGTCGCACCAGAATAATTCGTTTTTTAAATAAAGTTCTGTCCGCCGCCTTTATCACGCTAATGAAATACATAGACCACAATTCATTGCAGTACTGCTCCTGCCAATGGGTGACGCAGCTGGCCGCTCGGCCAATCAGAGCGCGGCGGGAGCTTTCAAACTTCAGACCGGAAGCTGAAGCAAACAGCAGATGAGTCCGACAGAGGCGTAGAGCTGTTTCTGTTTCTGCAGGTTTAACATTTTTGCATTTTTTATTTTAGCGATTTAAAAAAAAAAAGTTGTACTTATCAGGAACATTTGCAGAGAGGTTTCTAACAGAAGAGCAAACATGGGAGATGCAGAAGGACAGAGCCGCTGTGAGTCAAACTTCCTCTCACTTTAGTTTGTGTTTGTTCATCTGAGTCCGTGTTTAGTCATGTTTTAACCGGATAAATGTTTAATATTTTAATATTTAAACCGGATAAATGTTCAGTATTTCAATGTTTAACCGCATAAATGCTCAATATATTAAAGAGGACGTGAAACACTGACCCAAATTATCATTATTTTTGAGAATGCCTCTCGACTTCACAGATCACCGTATTCATGACTCTTAAAATTTAATACATTTCTAGAAAACTGTGACAGAAGTTCCACTTTAGCGACACTTCGGGGAACCGTAAAGCAGTGCCACTTTGCGTGACGTAATGGGTTGTGTAGCCCGCGTATTGACAATTGAATGAGACCTGAGGCCTGTACTACGAAGCTGGATTAACACATCCAGGATAACTCTACGACAACTCTCTAAACTTCACCGGATCTCCGCGATCCCGATCAGCTGTACTACGAAGCAGGATATCAACTCGATAACTGAATCCAGTTCAGATCTGTGCGCGCACACGTAAAGGGGGTCGGGTCAGTGCCACCGGACCAATCTCCACAATGGAGAAGGCTGCACGTCATTTTTCACAGCTGAAGAACAGAGCTTTATTTAAACAGTGAGACAGACACAGCCGCTGAAAGCCGGAGGGACTGCCGGCAAAAAAAAATCACCGATTGTGTAAATTACATTTGTGCGTTCATAAATTTATGGCCCCCTAATATATTGTCATGCAGCGTGCGTGATCACCACCATCACTGACCTCATTATTTCAGATACAACAGCAGTGGGGAAAAGAGTACGTGGGAGCAAATAAAAATAAATCTAAAAACATCCTTTTAAGTAGTTTGTAAGTTTATTGGAAGATTTTATTTGTACATATTTCAACGCGTAAACAGTGATTTCCTCACACTGCCTTTTTTTTTTCTCCATCATCTGATGGTCACGTCATCTGCAGACACATTTGGGGTTAAGAGTTTTCTAATCTGCTTCAATGAATTCTGAATGATGACTAACAAATTTGAACCTGGAGCTTGGCAAATATTAGTGTATTGCTTAGACTTCATGCTACCTGAATATTGAGGCCGTCCGAGGAAAACCTGTAACGTTCATAGAGAACGTCATCAGGTAAATCAAACGGATTTGAACGATCATGAATATAACGCTCTCGGCGGAGCGCTCCTCTCCCTATCCGTGCAACGATGTCCCCGGGATCCGGCAAAAGTGGGCAAGCCATTTTCCAAGAGATCCGATTGGTCAGTGGGCGTTTTTTTATACCTGCCGAGATCTTATCCTGAAACATAACCTGCTCCGGAGCAGGTTTGGCGTTCCGCGTAAGTTACCGGGGCAACGGACCCGGATAAAAAGAGATCCACCTTCGTAGTACAGAAAACCCAGAAGTTATCCAGAAGTTATCTCGCTAAGACCAAATCCAGCTTCGTAGTACAGGCCTCAGAGGCCTGTACTACGAAGCTGGATTTGGCCTGGATTTGGCCTCAGAGGCCTCAGGATAAGATCTCAGTAGGTATAAAAAACCGCCCACTGACCAATCGGATCTCTTGGAAAATGGCTTGCCCACTTTTGCCGGATCCCGGGGACATCGTTGCACGGATAGTGAGAGGAGCGCTTCGCCGAGAGCGTTATATTCATGATCGTTCAAATCTGTTTGATTTACCTGATGACGTTCTCTATGAACGTTACAGGTTTTCCTCGGACGGCCTCAATATTCAGGTAGAATGAAGTCTAAGCAATGCACTTATATTTGCCAAGCTCCAGGTTCAAATTTGTTAGTCATCATTCAGAATTCATTGAAGCAGATAAGAAAACTCTTAACCCCAAATGTGTGCAGATGACGTGACCATCAGATGATGGAGAAAAAAAAAAGGCAGTGTGAGGAAATCACTGTTTACGCGTTGAAATATGTACAAATAAAATCTTCCAATAAACTTACAAACTACTTTAAAGGATGTTTTTAGATTTATTTTCATTTGCTCCCACGTACTCTTTTCCCCACTGCTGTTGTATCTGAAATAATGAGGTCAATGATGGAGGTGATCACACACGCTGCATGACAACATATTAGGGGGCCATAAATTTATGAACACACAAATGTAATTTACACAACCGGTGATTTTTTTTGCCGGCAGTCCCTCCAGCTTTTAGCGGCTGTGTCTGTCTCACTGTTTAAATAAAGCTCTGTTCTTCAGCTGTGAAAAATGACGTGCAGCCTTCTCCATTGTGGAGATTGGTCCGGTGGCACTGACCCGACCCCCTTTACGTGTGCGCGCACAGATCTGAACTGGATTCAGTTATCGAGTTGATATCCTGCTTCGTAGTACAGCTGATCGGGATCGCGGAGATCTGGTGAAGTTTAGCGAGTTGTCGCAGAGTTATCCTGGATGTGTTAATCCAGCTTCGTAGTACAGGCCTCTGAGGCCTGTACTACGAAGCTGGATTTGGTCTTAGCGAGATAACTTCTGGATAACATCTGGGTTTTCTGTACTACGAAGGTGGATCTCTTTTTATCCGGGTTCGTTGCCCCGGTAACTTACGCGGAACGCCAAACCTGCTCCGGAGCAGGTTATGTTTCAGGATAAGAGCTCAGCAGGTATAAAAAACCGCCCGATGACCAATCGGATCTTTTGGAAAATGGCTTGCCCACTTTTGCCGGATCCCGGGGACATCGTTGCACGGATAGTGAGAGGAGCGCTTCGCCGAGAGTGTTATATTCATGATCGTTCAAATCCGTTTGATTTACCTGATGACGTTCTCTATGAACGTTACAGGTTTTCCTCGGACGGCCTCAATATTCAGGTAGCAAGAAGTCTAAGCAATACACTAATATTTGCCAAGCCCCAGGTTCAAATTTGTTAGTCATCTTTCAGAATTCATTGAAGCAGATAAGAAAACTCTTAACCTCAAATGTGTCTGCAGATGACGTGACCATCAGATAATGGAGAAAAAAAAAAGGCAGTGTGAGGAAATCACTGTTTACGCGTTGAAATATGTACAAATAAAATCTTCCAATAAACTTACAAACTACTTTAAAGAATGTTTTTAGATTTATTTTTATTTGCTCCCACGTACTCTTTTCCCCACTGCTGTTGTATCTTAAATAATGAGGTCAGTGATCGTGGTGATCACACGCTGCATGACAATATATTAGGGGGCCATAAATTTATGAACGCACAAATGTAATTTACACAACCGGTGATTTTTTTTGCCGGCAGTCCCTCCGGCTTTTAGCGGCTGTGTCTGTCTCACTGTTTAAATAAAGCTCTGTTCTTCAGCTGTGAAAAATGACGTGCAGCCTTCTCCATTGTGGAGATTGGTCCGGTGGCACTGACCCGACCCCCTTTACGTGTGCGCGCACAGATCTGGCCTCTGAGGCCTGTACTACGAAGCTGGATTAACACATCCAGGATAACTCTGCGACAACTCGCTCAACTTCACCGCATCTCCGCGATCCCGATCAGCTGTACTACGAAGCAGGATATCAACTCGATAACTGAATCCAGTTCAGATCTGTGCGCGCACACGTAAAGGGGGTCGGGTCAGTGCCATGTTTATTGTTTAAGTTTATTGGAAGATTTTATTTGTACATATTTCAACGTGTAAACAGTGATTTCCTCACACTGCCTTTTTTTTTCTCCATCATCTGATGGTCACGTCATCTGCAGACACATTTGGGGTTAAGAGTTTTCGAATCTGCTTCAATAAATTCTGAAAGATGACTAACAAATTTGAACCTGGAGCTTGGCAAATTTTAGTGTATTGCTTAGACTTCATGTTACCTGACTATTGAGGCCGTCCGAGGAAAACCTGTAACGTTCATAGAGAACGTCATCAGGTAAATCAAACGGATTTGAACGATCATGAATATAACGCTCTCGGCGAAGCGCTCCTCTTACTATCCGTGCAACGATGTCCCCGGGATCCGACAAAAGTGGGCAAGTCATTTTCCAAGAGATCCGATTGGTCATTGGGCGGTCTTTTATACCTGCTGAGCTCTTATCCTGAAACATAACCTGCTCTGGAGCAGGTTTGCCGTTCCGCGTAAGTTACCGGGGCAACGGACCCGGATAAAAAGAGATCCACCTTCGTAGTACGGAAAACCCAGAAGTTATCCAGAAGTTATCTCGCTAAGACCAAATCCAGCTTCGTAGTACAGGCCTCAGAGGCCTGTACTACGAAGCTGGATGAACACATCCAGGATAACTCTGCGACAACTCGCTCAACTTCACCGGATCTCCGCGATCCCGATCAGCTGTACTACGAAGCCGGTTATCAACTCGATAACTGAATCCAGCTGTGGCCTCTTCAGATCTGTGCGCGCACACGTAAAGGGGGTGGGGTCAGTTCCACCGGACCAATCTCCACAATGGAGAAGGCTGCACGTCATTTTTCACAGCCGAAGAACAGAGCATTATTTTACGAGGAGTACCGCAACATTATAACAGTGAGGAGCAGGACAGCCACAGCCGCTAAAAGCTGGAGGGACTGCTGGCAAAAAAAAATCACCGGTTGTGTAAATTACATTTGTGCGTTCATAAATTTAAGGCCCCCTTATATGTTGTCATGCAGCGTGTGTGATCACCACCATCATAGACCTCATTATTTCAGACACAACAGCAGTGGGGAAAAGAGTACGTGGGAGCAAATAAAAATAAATCTAAAAACATCCTTTAAAGTAGTTTGTAAGTTTATTGGCAGATTTTATTTGTACACATTTCAGAACAGGCCCCAGGGGCCTATTCTACGAAGCAAGTTCGACCTTGCGAGATAGCCTTGGAGCTACCTCGCTCAACTTAGCGCGGTAGCCAGCGGTCTCGCTAAACGGTCTTACGACGCTGGTTAACAACCTCGTAAGTGGATCCAGCTTTGCTATGAGCGCGTGCACGCATGTAAGGCGGGTCCGCAGCATCTGACCAATCGCGAACATGGACCAGTCTGGAGTGTCAGAGCAGGCCGGAGAGCGAAGAACCTTTACCTTACAAACGAGGAGCAGGAGAAGATCATGATAAAGTATGAAGAATTCAAATCTATCATAAACCTCAAAAGCAACACCGTCGCCACTGCAAAAGCACGGAGGGCAGAAAATTGCCGTCAGTCTCAATGCGGAAGTATAGTGCGCAATAAATCTTTGATGCCATTATCACCCTTAAATAGCCCTGTTCAACATGCGCTTTTAACATGCACCAGACATGTCTAATAAATTTCCAAGATGAATTGATTCAATTTGTCATTCCTATCCTGTTTACATTTTTGGTGTGATTGTAGGCCGGTGGCGATTGCGCTAAGACTGCAAGGGAAGCTCAGCTTCCCTTAAAATGTCACCCCCCAAAAAAAAGAAAAAGTGGTGAAATACGTACTGCTGTGTGTACATTTCATTAACTAAATATGCGCTACAAAGCCATCTTTTGTTCAGAATCAGCTTCTTATCACACTGTGATAAGAAGCTGATAATCACAGGTAACCGGCATAACTTCATTCTCATTCATCCTCGCAATGTGGAAGCTCAAAGTGGGTTGTTCCAGCAGCGAAACTAGACGCTCATTGGATAAATGCTGGGCTTTGTCCCGCCCATCGGACACTCGGCGTCTCTGGAGTTCTATGACGAAAGGGCGGTCCCAACTTTCTTGCGGACGTTGAGCTTCTGCATTCATGATTGGATGTGCTGTCTGAGGCGAAATCCTTTTTTGATTGACAGCTAAATAAGCGAATCAGCGATCTTGAAGAATAAAACATCTACCAGAGCATTTTCCAAGTTATTCATTCCGTTGTTCTTAACTGCTCCGGAGACTTTACCGATCCTCAGTGACTTTTGTCTTTGTTAAAAACGACTGCTGTTGTGTTTGGCGACTGTTCTGTTACATACAAATAAACAAACACAATTATGATGTAGGCCAGAAAAATGAGCTTCCCCTCCTTGAAAGACCAGAAGCCGCCACTGTTGTAGGCCATATGAGCCTTTCACAAAGGTGTTCATATGGAAAAGTGAGTGGGTCCGTGCGGTCCCTGAAAACTCTCGCGCACCGGAGTGCTTCTCGGACAATGCAAGCACCGAGGTCTATAGGATCCTCCAAGAACGGACAAGCCATTTTTCGAAAGAGCTCATTGGTCAGTGGGCAAGGTTTTTATACTTGGTGAGTTCAATCTGTAACCTAACCTGCCCCGGAGCAGGTTAGCCGTTCAGTGTACGTTGCCATGGAGACTCCCCTCGCTAAGAAGTGAACTGGCATCGTAGAACAGGAAACCCCGAACTTACCCTTGAAGTAACCTGGCAGTAATCCTGCTTCATAGAACAGGCCCCAGGGGCCTATTCTACGAAGCAGGATTACTGTTTAACAAGGTAACTTCAAGGGTAAATTCAGGGTTTTTCTGGGGCCTATTCTACGAAGCAAGTTCGACCTCGTTCAACTTAGCGCGGTAGCCAACGGTCTCGCTAAACCGTCTTACGGCGCTGGTGATCAACCTCGTAAGAGGACCAGCTTTGCTATGAGGGCGTGCACGCATGTAAGGTGGAGCCCGCCGCATCTGACCAATCGCGAACATGGACCAGTCTGGAGCGTCAGAGCAGGCCTGAGAGCGAAGGACCGCGTACTTTACAAACGAGGAGCAGGAGACGATCATAAGAAAGTATGAAGAATTCAAAATCTATCATAAACCTCAAAAGCAGCACCGTCGCCGCTGCAAAAGCACGGAAGGAATGGTGGCAGAAAATTGCCGACAGTCTCAATGCGTAAGTGTAGTGCACAAAAAGTCTTTGATGCCATTATCACCCTGAAATAGCACTGTTCAACATGCGCTTTTAACATGCACCAGACATGTCTAATTCATTTCCAAGATGAATTCATTCATTTGTTCATTCCTATAGTGTTAACATTTTTTGTGTGATATGTAGGCCATATGAGCCTTTCATAAAGGTGGTCATCCAGAAAAGTAAGAGGGTCGGTGCGGTCCCGGAAAACTCTCGCGCCGGAGTGCTCCTCGGACAATGTGAGCACCGAGGTCTATTGGATCCTCCAAGAACGGACAAGCCAATTTTCGAGAGAGCTCATTGGTCAGTAGGTGGGGTTTTTATTAAGGCTGCAACAACGAATCGATTAAGTCGATTCGTCGTGACGAAAAAATTCTTTGCCAACTAATTCTGTAATCGATTCGTTGGGTCTTTATATATGTCCATGGACACCGGCGTGTAAACATCAGCAGGACGCACAGAAAAGAAACAGCCATGGCCGAGGCAGCGGCTGAGAAAAACATGAACACAACCCAACCCAAATCCCGACCTAAAACATTAGTGGTGTGGGAAATCTTTACCAAGACTGAAAAGGAAGGCGTTCAGTGCAACATTTGCAAAGCCCGTTTTGCATGGCATGGGATTACATCGAGGATGGGTGAGCACAGGGCTCTCAAGTCTCACGCATTCAGCGTATGACACACGCATTCCCACTCGTTCACACGCTCACACACCACACATTGTATTTCTCACGCATTTAAATGAACACGGTGATGTCCACCACGTTGCACTTCTTTAACTATGGAACAGGAGGAAATCAACTGAGTTTCTCCGAGAGTTCAGAAGCTGCGTTTCACGCGCAAGCCAATCAAATAAAGTATATCTACTGAACAGCCAATCAAAAAGCAGCATTGCTGTATCCGGGTAGATTTTGATATCTTGCGGTTTGACTACAGAAGAAGACAGACACTCGCCGAAATAGAGCAGGTTTTTATAAGGACGAGAAAGACCCGATGATTACAGTAAGTCAGTAACCTACACATGCAGAGACCGCAACACCTCATGGCAGATGAACTCATATGATAAACGAAAGCCCTATGCTATTGCTATTAACAGCTGCATTGATGAATTTAGCCTGTTTATCCGATTAATCGATTAGTTATTAAAATAGTCGACAGATTAATCGATTATCAAAATAATCGTTAGTTGCAGCCCTAGTTTTTATACTTGGTGAGTTCAATGTGGAACCTCACCTGCCCCGGAGCTAGCCTGGCTCAGAGCAGTGAATTAAACAGAGTGGCGACACTCCCATAGACATACGCTGTACAGCCCGGCGGACCCCACTTCCGGGTTATGGAACTCTCAATAATTCCAACATGACCGCCTGTCATGTCGGACGCCGTTCGCTTCTATGGCCACAAGGCAAGCACTCACCGAGGTTAAATGATAAAATATCAACAAGTTTAATGCCAATACGTGTGTTATTGATATCAAGGGGACCCCTTTATATGTAAAAATGTATATCCCAAATGTAATTACATTTTTTTAGTCAGGAATTGGGATCGATTTTTTTAGCCACGGTTTGCTCCAACACTCCCCGAGGTAAAATATTGTATCAACGAATGTAATGCCAATACGTGTGTTAATGGTATCGAGGGACCCCTTTATATGTAAAATGATTTTAATTTTAGTTTGCACAAGTTGTAATTACAAATGTAATTACGTTTTTTTTTAGTTAGGAATTGGGATCGATTTTTTTTTTGCCACGGCCTGCTAGCTGGACGTCGTCAGCTGTAGAGGCCTGCCAAAATTTATTGTGTGACTGCGTTTTGAATCACAGATAAATCATCATCATCAATCATAGGTTGAGATGGTTACTTATGGGCTTTATTTTAGATTTCAGTCTTTATCAGTACCCAATGTTATGTGCAATTTATTCTTTTTAGACTAACATAAGTGCTATGTAATTTGATCTCTGCTTATGGGATGATTGAGTTAAGGGACCGCTACTTTTTAAATCCTGTCAGCATTTAAGGCGTATGTTTAACTTGGAAAAATGTTATGCAGGCCATGCTGCAAGACCAAAACATTGCACAATTGTTTAAACAGCTTGTAACACCTGTTACTTACCACTTTATTGTATTATTTTCACTTATAAAAAAGTAACACCTGTTACCAAACTTGTCTTATTTCACTTTATCTGTCATCCAGCCACTAAATATATGTACGTGACTTTGACGTGTCCGCAGTAATCCAATAAGAGTTGCAAATGTTGACTTTTTACGGTTAATCTTAATTTACCGCTTAAATGCGCGCTCACTGCAGTCTGTCCCATTGAAGAGCATGGACAGTGCAGGCTGCGCTTGGAACTATGGAGGGGTACATGAACCACGTGACCGCTCCGGCGGCTAGATCGGAAGTTGTCGCCACTCTGTTTAATCCACTGCTCTGGCCTGGCTGGGCCATCCAGTTGCGTGAATCACTTTCCGTTCCTTCACACAACGGTCTGGACTTCGGCCAATTAGGAGCGAGTATTAGAAATCAGAAAATAACCGGGTCAATCAGTGACTGTGTTTCCACTGTTCCCCGGACAAAAGGGAAAGGCAGCCCCTGATTGGTCCATGTGTAGATGGTGACGTCTAACACATGCTGCGGGACTTTTCAAAGTGCCGTTCATTCAGAATGCAGTTAATTCTGCAGTTGACTTTGCAAAGTCGGCAGAAATCGTTTATATCCACAGAAGAAGACGTAAAAGACATTGTTTGCTCGCACACCAAACTTTTACTTGATGCTTGAGAGCCCAGCAGGGAACACAGTTGCGCACTGTGATGATGTCAGATGTTTGGTTACGGTGATTGGTTACAGAAGTCTGTCTATCAAGGAAAGTACTTCCGCACACTTAGGGCTCCCAATTGGCCGAAGTCCAGACTGTTGTGGAAAGGAACGGCAAGTGATTCACGCAACTGGATGGCCCAGCCAGGCTACCCTGGAGCAGGTTAGCCATTCAGCGTACGTTGCCATGGAGACTTGCCTCGCTGAGAAGTGAACCCACGCCGTATAACAGGAAACCCTGAATCCCTGAAACCCTCGAAGTAACCTCGCTAAACTGTAATCCTGCTTCATAGAATAGGCCCCGTTCTACGACGCAGGTTCACTTTTTAGCGAGGCGAGTCTCCATGGCAACGTTCACTGAATGGCTAACCTGCTCCGGGGCAGGTTAGGTTCCAGATTGAACTCACTGAGTATAAAAACCCCGCCCACTGACCAATGAGCTGTCTCGAAAAATGGCTTGTCCGTTCTTGGAGGATCCTATAGACCTTGGTGCTGAGGTGCGGAGGAGCACTCAGCGCGTGAGACTTTTCCGGGACCGCACGGACCCACTCACTTTTCCGTATGAACACCTTTATGAAAGGCTCATATGGCCTACAATCACACAAAAAATGTAAACACGATAGGAATGAACAAATGAATGAATTCATCTTGGACATTAATTTGACATGTCTGTTGCATGTTAAAAGCGCATGTTGAACAGGGCTATATCAGGGTGATAATGGCATCAAAGATTTATTGCGCACTATACTTCCGCATTGAGACTGTCGGCAATTTTCTGCAAACATTCCTTCTGCGCTTTTGCAGCGGCGACGGTGTTGCTTTTGAGGTTTATGATAGATTTGAACTCTTCCTGTTCCTCGTTTGTAAAGTACGCGGTCCTTCGCTCTCCGGCCTGCTCTGACGCTCCAGACTGGTCCATGTTCGCGATTGGTCAGATGCGGCGGGCTCCGCCATATATGCGTGCACGCCCTCATAGCAAAGCTGGATCCACTTACGAGGTTGATAACCAGTGTCATAAGACCGTTTAGTGAGACCGCTGACTACCGCGCTAAGTTGAACAAGGTAGCTCCATGCCACCTCACTAGGTTGAACTTGCTTCGTAGAATAGGCCCCAGATTAGGATGGCTGAAATGGCGAATCGAGAGCCAAAGACAAGTAAACTCACTAACGGAGGGGTATTTTGTTTTGCGCCAGGCTGCTCCAACCAATTTTACAACGGAGTCTCCACTGTTTAACGGAGATCTGACGTAAAATAACGGAGGGGAAAACAGTCAGCATTATCACTCATCCAGCTCCAACAGGTTAATAATCCACTGGTATTTTTCCTGTTTACATCTTGTTTGAATCCCGTTTACAACCTCGTGGTCAGCGCCTCATCCATTCACGTGAAAATTAAAGTTTTTAGCGCTGTTTCTGGTCGGCCGGCTCAGTCGTTTATTTCCTGGTCTTCTTCCACAGGGACATGGAACACGTCTAGGTACTGATGCGGTGAGTTAGTCATGGCCTATCTGGACCCGTGGTGGTCTGGACTCGGTACCAAGTCCACTGATGCTCCTGCTCTCGATCTCTCTCAGGACATCTGAAGCTAAATCGAGCTAAAACTTTATTCACACAATGTGAATTGATGAAACGTGCTGACCGCGAGAAACGGGATGTGAATTGTATAGGTGGATTATTAAACTGCTGTGTCTGCTTGGATGTGTGGTGGACAGAGTTAAGGACGTTTTATATTTTTTTAGGCCACGTTTCCTCCGTTACTTTATATCAGATCTCCGTTAACCAGGGTGTGGTGTGATGAGCTCCTGTGAAAGCTGTAGCTTTGTGAACACAGGTGGGTCTGTGTGGATGAGACAAGACAAGTGTGTAGCTGATGGAGTCTCTGGTGATGATGTTTATACAGTTAATATCAATGTTTTCTTCAGATCGCTTCTGTGTGTGTGTGTGTGTGTGTGTGTGTGTGTGTGTGTGTGTGTGTGTGTGTGTGTGTGTGCGTGCGTGCGTGCGTGCGTGCGTGTAACGTTGTTACTGCCTCCTCCTCCTCCGCTTCTCCTTCTCGCTTACATGGTCTTTTTCTGACCGGCTCAAAAGCATACGCCATCGGGTTGGCAGGATAGATCCATCTCAAATTCGTCCTCGGACATCTTACCACTGAGCGATTGAGTCACGTACACTAATTACTATTTCACCGCTCTGTTCCTGCACAACCGGTGACGTCACAACTGTCATAAACTCAAGATGGCGCTGTGCGCATGTCGTAAATACACTCTTCAAAGCGGTTTTCCTATTAAACGGCTGATTTTTTACACAAATATTACTTCAGATTCTCTCCTAATTGATTTTTTACCAAGTGAGGATGCCAATGTGGTGTGTTTCATGTCCTCTGTAATGTTTTAACTGGATAAATGTTCAATATTTTAATGTTTTAACCGAATAAATGTTTAATATTTCAATGTTTAAACCGGATAAATGTTTAATATTTAAATGTTTAAACCGGATAAATGTTCAATGTTTAATGTTTTAACCGAATAAATGATAAATATTTTAATGGTTTAACTCTTTTTGTTGAAGAATCATCATTCATATCTTTATATTCTCTTTGCTCCTTCCTGCAGACTGTCTGCTCGTGTTTTTTTTTTTTTTTTTTTTTTTTTTTTCAATTTAATGACATGAAACCAAAATAAGTGGTTCTTTTAAACATTATCCCTCTGAGGCTCTAATGACATTTTTTTTCCATTTTAGTTGACTTTTTACTAGGCCTGGACGATATAGAAAAAAAGCATATTGATAAAAAATAAATCATATTGATCGATATCGATAATTATCAAAAAAAATTTAACATATATTTTAATTGCAGCCCTGGATGTTTTATGCTATTGCTTAATGACCTACTTTTAATAAAGAACACACAAGCACTGAATTCAAATTCAAACCTTTATTCAACCACCTTTTTTTTTTAACCACAACTTACCACAAGTTTTTTTTTAAAAAGAACTTAAAAAAAAAGAAATCAACTTAAGTGGCCTGAGTGACGTCAGTAAATACTGACAAACATAAAGACTAAAGTGACCACAAAATCTGATAAATAAATATTTAAATAGTCTTTTGATGAAAATAAACAAAACAAACAAATATATAAATAAACAGAATAGCTTTAGGTGGGAATAGCATACTACCAGTTTTAACTGTGTGGGAAACTGCCCACAGCCTGGTGTCTGAACACTGAAATATTTCTCCCGGGGTCGGGAGATTTATTTTTTTTAATTATCATGTGATTGACTTAATATGCAAACTGAGCACGAGAAGCAGGACTTATCCACGCCGGTGTTGTGTCGTAGAATGCCCCCCTGCCGAATGCCCCCCCCCCCCCGCTAGTAGTCATGATCCAAATACTCGCGTCTTTGTAAAATATGAGCTCATTTTCTTCCACTTTAAGAAGCTAATGAGTGGACGGGATGCAGGGGTGCATTCTACGGCACAACACCGGAACGTATTTCCTCGGCACCCTTCTCACCTTTTCAACCCCTGACCCATTTTCACGCCTGAAGCGCTGTGTTTGAGAAATACTTGCGGCCGGGCACTTCATATCGCGGGTCAAGAGTGGCTAGAAGCTGTTTGAAGCCAGGCTTTTCAACGGTAGTTATTGGCAGTATGTCCCTCGCTATGAAGCATGTTACTGCATGGGTGATGTCCTTATGCCGCTTGGACGCTTTGTCGTATTTTTGGCAAGAAACGAAGTCCAGTTTGATCTGCTTTACTTGCTTTGTGCTGGTGCTGGCAGCGGTTCCAGAGGATTCCGACGACGACGACAAAGTCGGACGACGGCGCGGCCGACACAGCTCGTACTCCTGCGGGTGCGACCGGTTTAGATGGTAAAACAAGTTGGTTGTGTCACCAGACTTGGTTTTTACTCATTCTCTGCGAATTTTGCAAACGACCGCTGTTTGCTTTTTGTCAGACTTATAAAAACCAAAATATTGCCATGCTGGTGAACTACTGAAACCTTTTTTCGGGACAATGTCCTCCGCTTCTCCTTGCTGTAACATTTTTTCTAATACACGTGCTGTCTGTTGTGGTTTGAGAGGGGCTGGGCTTGGTGCCGTAGCGTACCTGGGTCTGCGTTTGTGATTGGTTTAGAGGAAGTAATGACTGTAGTAAAAGCTACATGATAGGCTATGATGAAAAAAAAAGGGAAACTGTGTTTTTCTATCGAACTTTTTATCGACCCGTTTTTTTTCTATCGCACCACACGTCTATCGATCGATATATATTGTTATCGAATTATCGTCCAGCACTACTTTTTACCTTTCATTTGTTGATAATTTTGGCTGTGTTAAAGATGGGGTAGGCAGGAATCCATTGAAGAAGCATGTTTTTTTGTGGTGTATAAACAAAAAAATCTTTTAATATCAGTCAATAGATTTTAGTTATTGATGACATTTGGAAATATAACGATATCTCTGTGTTCTCTTATCAAAAGATTTACACATCTCATGTCTGTGTTGTCAACATTTTAACATTTTTTAGCGGTCTTCTCTTTCTGACTGTAAACAAAGAGTTCCCTACCTCCCCGACCTGATTGGTTGTGAGTAGGCCTGCACGATATATCGTTTGAACATCGTCATCACGATGTACATGTGTGCGATAGTCACATCGCAGAGCCTGCGATAGTCACATCGCAGAGCCTGCGATATCGGAGGTGAATGAACTCCGTTAATTTCAAGAGTAACTGACTGAGATACACTGCATGTGACTCTGCATGTGCTGTGCAGCGATCCACCAATCACCTTCCACAGAAGATGAAGACTTGTTGCCAAAAAGAAAAGGAAAGTCAGTTATCTGGAATTATTTCGGTTACAAGATGGATAATGTCGACCAAAACACGTCTTCTGTGTTCATCTGTTGCCACAATAACGTCCCAGAACAATAAAAGCTAAAAATATCTCTGAGACAGACATAAGCCATTCTACAAACATTCACAAAAAGAGGTAAGATCAGTGCAGGTTAACTGTCCTCAAGATTTCAGCAGTGCAGCATAACATTAAGTGCAATTCAGGTCATCTGGTGAAAATTCCTGTATTTTTTAATATCGCAATATATATCGCAGGGTTGAAAAAAATCGCGGTTATTTTTTTCCAATATCGTGCAGCCTTAGTTGTGAGGCAGACGCTGCTCCCCTATGCCGTTCACGAGCCCAAACAAAGGTAGCGTGCTACAATAACAAAGTTAGCGTGCTACAATATATACAACATACAATATGTGTGACAAAAACCCTGTACGTTTAGGTCCTTCAATGGACAAAAATGTCCATCTCATAAAAATGCTATAAAAATATTATACATTGATATTTTTTCACTTTTTTTTTTAACTTAAATCTTTGAATCAACTTCAGTCCTAATCATAACTACCAATTTTTTAGTTATTTTTTATTCAAACATAAACTGTTATTTGGATGAATTAAAACAGTCTTTGGTAATTATTAAAATATTTCAAGTGTTTGATGATAAACTTTTATTTGAGTGACTGATAAATAAGACACTGACACAGATGATACTACAGACTGTTTCAAATCTGTGAATAATTTTCTGTTTTGATCCTTTACTCTGTGAAACAGTTAAAACTATAAAGACACTGAGGCTCAGAGAGTTCATACTGGCGCTTTTATTTTGAGATCAGTCAGAGTCTCAGGTTGTTTCCTGTCATCAGTGCAGGTAAAGTGATCGGTCATGAAGCTCTAACAGGTTTTTACTGATCTTAACGTTCCGTCCTGATTCAGTTTAAACCACAGTCCACCTCACCTGACGTCTAACAGGTGAGGTGGTCCCAGGTGAGACCACCAGACGTTAGCTCTGTGCGGGCACGTGTATGTGTTATGCAGCTGTGCACATCAAACACACACAACTTTATATGTGTTTGTTACAGATGAGCGTCTGACAGCAGAGCAGATGGATGAGCAGAGGGTTCAGAGCGTGGCGTATCAGTACCTGTGCAGGTTGGAGGAAGCCAAAAGGTCAGTGAGATCCTCATGAGACCCTCAGACCAGGTCCGTGTGATCAGGTTTGGGATCAGGATCAGGCTGTCTACACTGAAAACCATCAAAGTCTTTGTTAATTAAAGTTGTTTTAGTGTCATAAAGACGTTATTTTAGCGTTTGATGTGGGGCACATGTTAAAGCAGTCAAGAATAAAATCAAATTTATTAAAGTTCAAACATATAAGAACCTTGCTGAATATGGACTCAGTGAAGACAAATATGCATGCAATGATATTTACTCATATTTCTTACTGTTACACTACATGGTCACATACGTCTGAGAGTACTTAAAAAAAAAATCAAGTCCCTCTTTAAGAGGACACTTCAAACTTCAGACAAAAAGCCTTTATATTACAGATGTACTAAACCCTAACCTACAGTTGTGATCAAATTTATTCAACCCCCACTGAAATAAAGTGTTTTGGCCAGTTTGACATTGATTTTGATGATTTCAGTCATCTTATTTACAATTATATCAAAGAGGCACTTATAAATCAGACAAATATAACATAACATTTATGATGAAATAACCACAAATGTCTTTTCTGTGCTCACATCATTATCAGTTTTATTCAACCCCCTAGTGACATTATTTTTTAGTACTTAGTACAACCTCCTTTTCAAGTTATGACATCTTTCAAGCGTGAAACATAGCTTGACACAAGTGTCTTGCAGTGACCTATGGGTATCTTAGCCCATTCTTCATGGGCAAAAGCCTCCAGTTCAGTCACATTCTTAGGCTTGCGCGCTGCAACTGCCTTCTTTAGGTCCCACCAGAGATTCTCAATTGGATTTAAGTCTGGTGACTGCGATGGCCACTCTAGAATGTTCCAGCCTTTCATCTTCAACCATGCTCTAGTGGACTTTGATGTGTGCTTCGGATCATTGTCCTCTTGGAAGGTCCAACGTCTCCCAAGCCGCAGGTTTGTGACTGACTCCATCACATTTTCCTCCAAGATCTCCTGGTACTGAAGGGAATTCATGGTACCCTGCACACATTGAAGCTTCCCTGTACCATTAGAAGCAAAACAGCCCCAAAGCATAATTGACCCCCCGCCATGCTTCACAGTAGGCAAGGTGTTCTTTTGTTCATAAGCCTGGTTCTTCCTCCTCCAAACATAGCGCTGGTCCATTGGCCCAAACAATTCTAATTTAGTTTCATCTGACCACAGTACACTGTCCCAAAACTTTTGTGGCTTGTCCACATGACTTTTGGCATACTGCAGTCGACTTTTCTTGTTCTTTGGAGTCAGCAAGGGGGTGCGCCTAGGAGTTCTGGCATGGAGTTCTTCGTTATGCAGTGCGCGCCTTATTGTCTGAGCTGAAACTTTGGTGCCCACATCTGACAGGTCTTTGTTCAGTTCCTTAGCAGTCACGCGGGGATTTTTCTCCACCTTACGCTTCAGGTAGCGCACAGCAGTCGCGGTCAGGATCTTCTTTCTGCCACAACCAGGTAGCGTTTCCACTGTGCCCTTTAACTTGAACTTGCGAATGATACTTCCGATAGTGTCTCTTGGAATATTTAACAACTTCGCAATCTTCTTATATCCATTGCCATTCTTGTGAAGAGAAATAACCTCTTCTCGGGTCTTCTGGGACCATTCTCTTGCCTTCACCATGCTTGTAAACACACCAGTAGATGTCTAGAAGGAGCTGAGTATCACAGTCCTTTTAAATCTGCCTAATTGGTGCTTATTATGCTTGATTGCTGCTCGTTGACATCCACAGGTGTTTTTAATACCTGATTGAAAACACTGGAATGAACCTCTGTTCTTAAGAGTGGTAGTTTTAAAGGGGTTGAATAATTGTGTCAATGAAGAAATCACAAAAAGCCCATTTAATACTTTATGACAAAAACAATTGATGCTATTTTAGTTGCATTTAGTTCTTTAACAAGTCCTTGTAAGATTTCATTATGAACACAATTACAAACGTGCACTGAATTCCATAAAACCCTTCACAGCATCGGGGGTTGAATAAATTTGATCACAACTGTATATATTAGATAATTAAATTTACTTTTCCTCATCGTCAGATCGTAAATCAGACTGTTTTCTCAGTTTGGATCATAATTGAAAAGAAAAGAAAACTCTCATCACAACCACGCTGGATGACATCACTGTGACATCACTGTGACATCACTGTCACTCACCTCCCCAGGTGGATGGAGGCGTGTCTAGGCGAGGAGCTACCTGCTCCCACTGAGCTGGAGGAGGCGCTGAGGAACGGCATCATCCTCGCCAAAGTGGGTCATCGATTCGCTCCGAAGGTTGTCAACCTAAAGAAGATCTACGACCCCGAGCAGCTACGCTACAATGTAACACACACACACACACACTATTGACTCACAAAGAAATATGTATGTACTCTGTTATTTTACAAAGATCATTGTGATTTTGGATTTTGGATTAAATGAGTAAACAGCCACGATAAAATGTTTGTGTGTTTGTGTGTGTGTGTGTGTGTGTGTGTGTGTGTGTGTGTGTGTGTGTGTGTGTGTGTGTGTGTGTGTGTGTGTGTGTGTGTGTGTGTGTGTGTGTGTGTGTGTGTGTGTTGATCCATCAGGCTGTGGGGCTTCAGTTTCGACACACAGACAACATCAACCACTGGAGAAACGCCATCACATCACTGGGACTGCCAACGGTCAGTGAACGCACCATATCCTGATCAGAACGCAGATCAACTGATTCAAATTCAACTTTATTTGTATGGCACTTTTCAGACAAAAAGATGCAGTTCAAAGTTCCTCACAGAGGCTAAAAACAACAATGAAACAACAATAAAACCTGACCCTCCCACCCACACACCCACCCATGGACCCACACACACAGACACAGACACACACCCACCCTCACTCACCCACACATACACACAAGCGTACACAAAGTGAGAATTTAATATACATTGTTAAAGAGACATGGCCTGACGCCGAGACATGACGTGAGGAAAGAGCTACAAATGGTAAAAAAAGAGAGTAAAACCTGATGGACTAAAACAAGAAAATAATATTAAATGAACAGATAAGTAAAGGCTCTATACCATGTAAAAGGAGTAAAAACCTCTGTGATGGGAATTAAGACAAAGACTAAGAACAATAACTAATAAAGTGACATAAAAGAAATATCAAGAACTTTGATTAAAATGAACATTTGCAATAAGAGAAATGTAAAAAAGCAATTAATGAAAAGCTGATCAGAGTGTTTGTTGGCTGAAGAAAATGATGAAATCTTGTTTTTAGATCTTTCACCCTGAAACTACAGACGTCTATGACAAAAAGAACATGCCAAGAGCCGTGTACTGTATCCATGCCCTCAGGTCAGTGTGTGTGTCTGTCTGTCTGTCTGTGTGTGTGTTAGTCTGTTAGTGTGTCCTTTAGTGTGTTAGTGTGTCCATGGGTGTGTTAGTGTGTCCATGGGTGTGTTAGTGTGTCTGTTAGTGTGTCTGTGTGTCCGTTAGTGTGTTAGTGTGTCTGTGAGTGTGCTAGTGTGTCTGTTAGTGTGTGAGTCTGTCGGTGTGTGTATTTTTTTGTTCAAATCCGTCTCACATCCCCTGTCGCTTTGCCCCCCCTTTAGTCTCTTCCTGTACAGACGAGGTCTGGCTCCTCAGATTCAGGACCTGTATGGAAAAGTGAAGTTCACAGGTAAGTGGATTAAACCCTCACAGTTCACTCGTTCATGGTTTTCAGCTGGTCCGTATTTTCGGGTCGGCTGTTTCTCGTCAACTCTGGACTTGATTGAGAACAGTAGACCAGCAGCATAGGAACACAAGATTCAGAGTATAACACATACTTAATTTAACTAATAACAGAACTTCGATAAATTCACTTCTTTGTTAACAAGAGACTGAGACCATAAACTCATCAGGAAGATGACGACAGAGGGAATAAATGAGCGGAGAAATAAGAGACGGCTGTACAGTTACATAGTGGAGTCGCCCCCTGTTGAACATTAGAGAGAGTGTAGCGTCACCTATTCACTAATGCTTCTCCCGTTATGAATGTGTGTGTGCGTGTGTGTGTGTTCAGAGGAGGAGATCAACAACATGAAGATGGAGTTGGATAAATACGGGATCCAGATGCCAGCGTTCAACAAGATCGGAGGAATTCTGGCCAATGAACTTTCAGTCGACGAGGCCGCAGGTAGAGAGGCGAGCCCTGATTGGTGCAGAGAAGAGGAGTTTAAAATGAAGGATGAGGGAAAGGGTTTAGGAGAGATAGGAGAGGAGAAGGAGATGAGAATTAGGAGGATGTGGTGACAGAGCAGAGAGGAAGAAAAGGAGATACAGTTGGGAGTCACTGGAGGAGGAGAGGAGGAGTCAGTGACATGGTCTGTTTTTTTTTCCCATCAGTGCATGCGGCAGTGATAGCGATTAATGAGGCGGTGGATCGGGGGCGTGTGGAGGCGACGGCGGAGGCTCTGAGGAACCCCAACGCGCTCCTCACTGACCTGCAGGAGGCGCTGATGAGCGTGTACCAAGAGATGCTGTGTCAGGCTCGGAGGAGGAAGGGAGAGTTGGCGGCCAGCAGGGTGAGAGCTGAGCTGTGATTGCTCAGAGAGTTTGATGATTGTCCAATCAGAGGGCTGAGTTTCCCTCCGCTCAGCTGATGTCATAAAAACAGGATTTTTACAATAAGTCAATGTTAGATCACTCCTTCTAAAGTGTGTGTGTGTGTGTATGTGTGTGTGTGTGTGTGTGTGTGTGTGTGTGTGTGTGTGTGTGTGTGTGTGTGTGTGTGTGTGTGTGTGTGTGTGTGTGTGTGTGTGTGTGTGTGTGTCAGGGCGGAGGTCCTGAGGAGAAGGACATCTATGAGGAGTTTCTGACTCAGAAGGAGATCCAGGAGAACATCCATGTCGTGAACAGTGAGTTTTTATTTTAGCTGTTTGTGATTCCCTGTGGAGGAAACCAATCAAATGTTAAAACTGTAAATATCAATATCAGAGGTCTATGTAGATTCTCATTCATCCAGGTCATGGTTTTCTTGAAGACTCCAAAAACAGGCAACTGCACTGTGTAGAGTTGAGAAGATGTTTCGCCTCTTAGCCAAGTAGCTTCTTCAGTTCTGAACTGAAGAAGCTACTTGGCTGAGAGGCAAAACATCTTCTCAACTCTACACAGTCCAGTTGCCTGTTTTTGAAGTCTTCAAGAAAATCAATATCAGAGATTACTGACGATTACACTCTGATGTATTGATGATCAGCTCGCTCTGCGGTGGAGCAGGTCGATGAAGCTCTGGACTCTTCAGATGAACTGGCTCTGCTCGCTGCTCTGAAGCTGCCATGTTTGGCCCTCAAAGGCCTCCGCACTGACAACGGGCCCTGGTACCTGGATCAGCTGTGTGCAGATCGCCAGCAGAAGGCGCTGGTACGCACACGCACACACGCTTATTTCTTAATAACATGATCATCTCAAACCTCTCACTCTCTCATGGACCTCAGTTCATGTTTGACACACGTGTTATAATCAGGTGACATCATACCTGTCTCAGCTGTTTACTGATCAATAACAAATCTGATCAATCATGCCTGATCCACTGCCAGGTGTTTATGGTTTATTTTTCAGTCTTTATAATATTTATAACTATAGGAATCTTAAGAATTATTATACAACAATATTATTTATTATATTGATAAACGTGATCAATAATGTTTTAACAAAGTAAATCAATAATTTCATAATAAATAATGACAGATACTGAAAAATTATTCAATAAGAACAATAATGTTGAGTAAAACTAACAACCAAAAACAAATCATCACAGTAATGAAGATAATAATTATATTAATAATAATAATCATGACAATAACAATAATAATAATCATGATAATAAACAAGATAATATTAATAATAATGATGATGATGATAATAATGATAATATTAATAATAATTGTATAATATGATATTAAAAATAATTTTATAATAATAATAAATATAATAATAATGATGATGATAATCATGATTATAATAATGATGATGATGTTAATGAAAATTAATAATAGTAATAATAATAAATATAATTATTATTATTATTATAATGATTATTATATTAATAATACTAATTATAATAATGACGATAATAATGATGACGATAAATGAAATAATGATAATGACGATGATGATGATGATGATAGTACTAAAGCATCAGTTTTTTGGGTTTAGCATTTATTTAACAGTTGTGTGACCTTTGACCTCAGGATCAGGGCTGTGTGGACACTCTTGAGCCTGACGAGCTGCAGGAAGGAGTGACCCTTGCCAACCGGGACGCCACCAGAGCTCAAGCAGGTGAGATCGTCATTTGGGTGTCTTTGACGACAGGCGCCACCTGCTGGGCAGCTGAACACCAAACAACAGACCAAATACAAGTTTGTGTGTGTGTGTGTGTGTGTTTGTTTGTTTGTTTGTTTGTTTGTTTGTTTGTTTGTTTGTTTGTTTCAGTGCATGCAGCGGTGCAGACCGTTAATGCATCCCTTCGTGGCAGTGACCCCCGGCACACGGTTAGCTGTCTGCTGACCTCTGATCTCCAGCTGCCTGAGGTGTTTCCGTTCGCTGCGTCTCTGTATCACCGAGAGCTGCAGCTGCTGCAGAGACAGAGCCCACAGGTACGCCTGACACTCACCTGTCAGACCGCACTCAGGGTTTGACATCCATCAGTAGGTTCTCTGTGCCTCTACTGTCCCCCGCTGGGTAAACAAAATCCCTTCATGAGAGGACGTGGTTGAGTGTGTTTGATTCGTCTCCAACAGGGGGAGCTGCAGCAGGAGGAGCTGTTTGTTGCCGTGGAGATGCTGTCAGCTGTTGCACTTATCAATCAGGCCGTGGAGGTGGGACACCTGCAGCAGTTCAGCTCCTTATTGGTCAGTCTGTCTGCAGGGCTGTCAGATGTGGACCCCACCCTGCTGGACAGGTACTCAGCTGTTTACCTGTGACCGATGATATCAGCGTTTTAGTCAGGGAGGTTAAATCTGAGCACCACAAAAGAAGACTTGACTTAAGGTCAGGCTGTCAGAAACTGAACCTCAGTCCTCGGATCCTTTCAGGTACTTTGACGCGCTGTGCCGCGTGAAGCAGCAGGGAGGGAAACAGCTGCTCACCTGGAATCACCTGCAGGAAGAAATCAACAAAGTCAATGCATCAGTGCAGGACGAACACCTACGTACGAACACACAAAAACACACACATCAGTACACACACCTGACCCCTCTTTGTGACCTCTGACTTCTCTCTGTGTGACCTCAGAGCTGCAGGTGTTGGCTCAAGTGAACCAGGCCGTGCTGAGAGGAGACGCCAAGCGGCTGCGCTCCGCTCTGATGCAGCCTGAAGCCGAAGTGGAGCAGTTCATACCTGAGAACACATGCAGATACCTGAGCCTGCTGAGCAACGCCCAGAAACACAAAGCACAGGTGAGCACACAAACACAAACAGGTACACACAGACACACACAGGTGAACACACAAACACACACAGGTGAACACACAAACACACACAGGTGAGCACAAACACACACAGATGAACACACAAACAGACACACACAGGTGAACATACAAACAGACACACACAGGTGAACATACAAACAGACACACAGGTGAGCACACAAACACACAGGTTAACACACAGACAGGTAAACTAAAGGTAAAATAAACAACACAAAGAGAGTCACACAGGTGAGCATACCCGAGACTCTCGCTGAATCCTAAGACTTTGTTCTGAAATTATTTTGGTAATTAACTCTGAAGTCAGGTGACTTTTTCTGTCCAAAACAGGTGAGCAGAGACCCTGAGGCCGAGCTGTGGTTGGCTGACATCCAGGAGACGGTGAAGAGAGCCAATCAGCAGAGCCAGAGAGCTCTGAAGTGTGAGGCTCATACACACTTGATACACACTTGTCTGACACTCACACAGCAGATAAAATTTATTTACTCTTGTGTGTGCACTCGCGTGTGTGTTTGTGTGTGTGTGTGTGTGTGTTCAGTGTGTCTGTCTGTAGCTGCAGTGAATCAGGCAGTGAAGGAAAACAGAGCGAGTCAGACTCTGCGCGTTCTAAGTTTACCTGAAGTTCACCTGAAGGGAGTCATTCCCACCTGTGCTGAAGAGTATCAGAGAGAGCTGCTGCACCTGATCACACACAGGATACACACAGGTAAAACAAACACAGGTAACACATACACACACAGGTAACTCACACACACAGGATACACGCAGGTAACACACACACACACACGCAGGATACACACAGGTGACACACACACCCAGAATACACACAGGTAACACACACACACAGGTGACACACACACAGGCAACACACACACACAGGTAAGACAACACAGGTGACACATACACAGGTGAAAGACACACAGGTGACACACAGAGGTAATACACACAGAGGTAACACACACAGGATACACACACAAACACAGGTTACACAAACACAGGTAACACATATAGGTCACATATACACACACACACACACACACACACACACACACACAGGCAACACACACACACACAGGTGACAAACACACAATTATCACACGTGACAAACACAGGTGACACACACAGGTGTAAGTTTCTTGTTCATCATGTCGTTTTTTTTCTGTTGGTGGTTTTTTTGTGTGTCAGAGGAAGACGCTTCAGGTGAGACAGGAAGTTCACACCTGTGCTGTCTATGTTCAGGTGACAACAGGAGTCCGTGGGTTCGGTTCCGGCTGGAGGACGGATCCTTTTACTATTTCCACCTGACCCACCTGGAGGGCAGCTGGGAGAAACCGCAGGGATTCATCCACAACAGCGTGTTCCTGGACCAGGACCAGATACAGGTCAGAGGTCAACATCTGATGTTCACCTGAGCAGATGTCATGGAGTGCAACTCATATGATGTAATGTCATGTGATGTCATATCTCCCCTGCAGGAAGTGGTCAGTGATGTTTCGGGCTCATACAGTCGCGGCGTCCTCTGGCGGAGCAGTGAAGCCCTGGTCGTTGGTCTACAGGCGGTTTGTCGGGGTTACCTGGTCAGACAGGAGCTGGAGGCTCGCCGGCGTTACCTGATCAGTCAGACACCTGCTGTCATCACCATCCAGGTGAGAACATGACTGACTGACAGATTCATCACAAACTGGAGAGTTTAAAGACGGCGTTACAACCTTTTTGATGACTCACAACGTGGACTGTGTTTCACTCTCACGTGTGTGTGTGTGTGTGTGTGTGTGTGTGTGTGTGTGTGTGTGTGTGTGTGTGTGTGTGTGTGTGTGTGTGTGTGTGTGTGTGTTTGTGTGTGTGTGTGTGTGTTCAGTCTCACTGGAGGAGGAGTGTCCAGCGGAGGGCATACAGACTTCGTCTGCAGTTTCTCTACATGAACTGGAGAGCTGTTGTCAAGGTAACGGCGTGTGTTTTGTGGCGTCATGACAGAGTCAAGTTTTCTGTGTTTCTGAATCTTTGGTTCCTCTGCTCCTTGGTAAAGACGGAAACACGTCTGACATGTGGTCCTCTGAGGTTTTGGTCCGGTTTTCTCTTGTTGTGAGTTCTTTTGGTTCTGTGGATCAGGTCGTGTTTGTCTCCATATTTTCTGTTTGCGTGTTTTTGACAGATTCAGTCGTTTGTGAGGATGTGGCTGGCGAGGAGGAAATATCGAGCTCGGCTGAGTTTCTTCAGACGTCACGTGAGTTTCCCTCTGAGCCGGGCAGCATGAAGACTGAGCTGCAGTCATTTTTATTATTGCTCTAACAGCTTAAACTGTAGTGACTTATTATTTTACCGTTTTAATATCACAAACTTTAAACATCTTTAAAGGAATATTCCGGCGTAAAATTAATTTAGGGTCAAACACACCGTAACACCGAGTTAGACACCCCCTCCAGAGATGAATGTTGCTGACCGCTTGCTTCTCTAGTTATACCAACTTTAGTAACGATCGCAGGATAGCAATACAGAGAGCCACGCGCTCAACCAAAACGCCGCTCTATAGCCACATCTTTTGACGGGGTGTCTAACTAAGTGTTTGACCCGAACTTAATTTTACACCGGAATATCCCTTTAAAACTCTAAAATCTCATTCCGTGTTTATTACAATAATCTGAACTCAGAGATGAAGCAAAAGGATTCCACTGTATGTTGAACTAATGTTCAATTCAAACCAATCAGAGACCAGCATTCCTTTTGTGTATTTCTCAGGTGTAGTTGTTCTGTGTCCACAGGTGGGCGCTGTCATAAAGATCCAGGCCTTCTTCAGAGCTAACCGTGCTCGAGACGAGTACAGGATGCTCGGTGAGTTTCCTAACAAGGGGAAACTTAATGAGGGTCCTTTAGATCATCAGAACTGTTACTGATTAAGCCCCTCCCCTTACATATTTCAGTGCATTCGGCCACGCCCCCTCTGTCTGTGGTCAGGAAGTTTGTTCACCTGCTTGACTTGGGTGACAGTGACATCAGAGAGGAGGCGGAGCTTCTGCGTCTGAGAGAGGAAGTGGTGAGGAGCATTCGCTTCAACCGGCAGCTGGAGGCAGACCTGAACCTGATGGACCTGAAGATCGGTTTGCTGGTCCGCAACCGGGCCACGCTACAGGTGAGTCAATTGTACCCAGAGGTAGATGCCACAAAGCAGGTTATCACACTGTATGAGAAAACACATACATAACAGGTAAGCACACAACAGGTAAAGGCTCTACAGGTAAGAACACTACAGGTGAACACAAAACAGAGAAGCACATGACAGACAAAATAATGACAGGTGAAGACCCCTCAGGTAACCACACTCCAGGTAACTGTAAATGAGGTAATTAGCACATGTTAATATGCTACAGGTATTTATTATTAAAAGTTAGTCTAGGTAGAATCACTGTAGGTGATTTGAGAACAGGTAAAAATACAAAGGTAAGGTACATTTCAGGTAAATACTCCTCAGGTGAACTTGGTACAGGTTTCTACATCACAGGTTCTTAAAGGGGACCTGCCATCAAAATTTCATACCCATTTTTATCATTTTTTCATAATCCTTGATGTCCTCTGATCATGTTTGCAACATAATTTTAGCTGAAAAGTTATTTGATGGTTTGTTTTTAGTATGCCTAAAAAACCTTACAGGAAAACCAACTGATTTTGGCTCGTTAACATTTATGGTAATGAGCTTTGCTCTGATTGGCTCAGCAGTGGAGGTTCGGATTTCAGTTTATCCATTTTGCTAATGTGTGCTAAAGTAAGGTGCCCAGATGTCTGTAATGATATCCGGGGATACTCGGTGCGGCGGGGCGGGGAGGGTGCAGGGGCTGCAGGGGCTGTGTGATCACAGACAAAATCTCGGTACTATTTAGTAGCAGCACATGCCCCTTGTAATAACCCCCGTAAGAACTGTTTTTCAGGACTGCTTACTTGTGCTTCCTACCCATTCGGCTACTGTAATAACCGTTGTTCGAGCCCACACGCAACATTTTTGCTCTCATTCATGAAACGCTTAAATCTGGGACAGCTTTTGCCCGGGACAGGTCATCCAATACGGGGACTGTCCCCGGAAATCACGGACGTCTGGTCACCTTATGCTAAAGGCAAAAAATGGCAGGTATTAAACCATATATTTTAGACCCCGAGTCCGAAGAGGAGGTGGAAGTTGAAGAAGAAGCCGGAGATCTCCAGCGGTGTTTTCTCATTCATTCTGCCCAGCTTTAAGTTCATTTTCCCAGCAGTGAACCTAAGGAAACACCGGTCGTTTGGAAGAGACCCATAGCGGATACAGTGGTAGCTGGGTCTCGCTCTGGCTGGAGAGTGATGTTGACTGTGAATGAGTACGAGAACGAGAGAGTGGGCGCGGCTCACCGAGGACGCACTCGTGAATAATAATGAGCAAGGTCAGCGTGACGTCAAAAGGACCTGCTTTTTCAATTGGCCTGGTTTACCCGTTCCTTTATTTTAAACCTTTATAGAATGCAAGCAACGTAAAGGTTTGTTTTCACATTTACAACATAAGACGAACATAATATGGACCTTATCTGACACAAAAACACACAAAATTACATTTTTGATGGCAGGTCCCCTTTAAACAGGTAAACAAAGATTATCTCTAAACAAAGGTGGAGAAGGATGGTAACACTGTAACAGCAGCAACTAACATGAGAATAACTAAGAAGACGAAATCATGTTCCAAGAACTTGAGTCTTAGACTCCGCCCTCCTCGTTAGTGTTAATTAGTTTCTCTGTCAACAGGATGTGGTGTCTCACTGTAAGAAACTGACAAAGAAGAACGCTGAGCAGCTGTCGGATATGATGGACATGGAGAGAAACAAAGGCCTGAAGGCTCTGAGCCGAGACAGGAGGGACCGACTGGAGGCGTACCAACACCTGTTCTATCTGCTACAGGTAAGATTCAAAAACACCAGGGTCCTCATTTATCAACCGTGTGTACGCACAGATGTGCTTTTGTAATGAGTGCGTACGTACATTCCCACGTAAGGTCTGGAATTTATTAACCTGTGCTTGTTGTTAGGAACATGAGTAAATTTAAGCCCAATTCTGGGCATGCTTACACACAAACCCTAGTGGTAGAACAGTGAAACTACAACTAGAACCCATTAAAGGAGTCACAGCGTTCAGCAATCTCAAACTTCACACATGTTCTCTGTTCCCTCTGTACAAAATTGATCAATTAGTTATTTATCAGACATTTGGAATGATTGGTGTGAAAAGCTATAAAATCAGCGGTGACAGGACAACCTCACAAGAAGTCTTATAAGTACAAATACAAATACAAGTATCATGTCTTATTTTGGACTATTGGCGGACTTGGAGAAGTGTCTGCTCCTCCTCAGGGAGCGCGTTTCCAAAGAGCATGCTGATCTGTTCAATGAGAAGACAGAGTGGATTCTCAACAGGTACCGCTTCCCTGAAAACATTTGAATGGATTTTTGATCCGTGATTTACAACCTGTGTTGGAGCGAGAGACAAAACACACCAAAGCCATCCCAGTGACCATCCAGCTCCTGTCCACCCTAACTCGAACGTTTCAGCCTGAGATCGGAGACATATACAACATTTCACATCCAACACTAAGCAGAATCATGTCGGCAGAGTTGAATGCAATAATTTCTCTGACCTCAGCTTACATCCAGTTCCCAAACACACATCAGAAACAAGCTGAAATAAAACAAGGATTTCACGCCATCACTGGATTCCCAAACATAATTGGAGCCGTGGATTTCCCCACATCGTAATAACAGCACCTTCACACAATAAATTCAGTTTAGTCAACAGGAAAAGATTTCATTCAGTCAATGATCAATAATCTGAGATGAACATATGGATCTGTTAAACGTTGTCCTGAAGGAACGCACGACACCTTCATTCTGCAGAACAGCTCTGTGAGTGTACACCTCCATGATTTCAGCGAGGGGGAAAAAATCCATTCAGGCATTTTTAAAGGGATTGTTGATACCATATATGGTCAATTGGAGGCCTTTCTGAATGTAAATGACCCTAATCATGAACAAGCACGCTAGGAAAGAACAGGTAGGATTTATCATCACCGATTACTTACTAGTGTGCGTATGACCGGTATCCACATGTTTGAGAAGTACTGATTTTTTTCTTACGCACATTCGACATTTCATTCCTACGACAGAAATTACAACCTTTTCTACATACCACTGAGAAATGAGGACCCTGGACTAACCTCGCCGCTGTGTTTGTGTGTGTGTTTGTGTGTTTTAGACCCAGCCCCTGTACCTGGCTCAGCTGATCTTCCTAATGCCTCAGAGCCGGTCCACGGCCTTTGTTGAGATGCTGGTCTTCAGTCTCTTTAATTACGGCTCGGACCACAGGGAGGCGTACCTGCTGCTGCACCTTTTCACTGAGGCTTTGCGCTACGAGATCAGGTGACACACAGACACACCTGCAGGCTGATGAACCATGTGACTGTGATGTCATCAATAACAGCTGATCGTCTCTGATGTCAGGCTGAAGGTGGAGCAGCCCAAGGACGTGGTCACAGGAAACCCCACCGTCATCAAGATGCTGGTGAACTTTTACCGCCATGCTCGTGGTCAGAACGCTCTGAGGGACGCTCTGGGTCCAGCTCTAAAGGACGTCCTTCAAGACCGGACCATCAGCATCCGGACTGACCCTGTGGAGGTCTACAAGACCTGGATCAACCAGACTGAGACCCAGACCGGGACCAAAAGGTCAAAACCAACAAAAGTATTCAGATGCATAAATTCACTGCAGGTGATTTTTGACCCTTCCTGCTCTCCATACCTGACTCACCTGAGTGTCTCTGCAGCTCTCTGCCATATGATGTCACACCTGAAGACGCTCTGGGTCACCCTGAAGTCCAGAGACGCATCGATGTCGCCATCATCAACCTGAAGAACCTGACCGACCGAGTGCTGAAGGCCATCACCTCCAACCTCCACAAACTACCGTGAGTTACACCTGCTCACCTGTTCACCTGCTAACCTGTTCACCTGCTCACCTGTGTACCAGCTTACCTGTTCACCAGCTCACCTGCTCACTTGTTCACCTGCTCACCTGTTCACCAGCTCAGCTGCTCCCCTGTTCACCTGTTTACCTGCTCACCTGTTCACCTGCTCCCCTGTTCACCTGCTCCTCTGCATACCTGCTCACCAGCTCACCTGTTTTCATGCTCACCTGTTCACCTGCAAACAAACACACCTGAACTCCCCTCCTGTATGTTGATCATGTTCAAACACGACCGCCTGCACAGACTGCTGTAATCGTCACACCTGTACCTCACAACTCGACCTTCTTAGTTTGAAACACTTCATCATCACCTGTTGACCCCGTTACCTGCCACCCGTCTCCACCTGATGATGTCAGTGAGTGTCAGGTGTGTATTTTTGTGTATTGTGTGTTTCAGGTATGGTCTTCGTTACACAGCTAAAGTTCTCAGAGATGCTCTGAGGGACAAGTTTCCTGAAGCCCAAGATGACGACCTGTACAAGGTGAGTGCCAGGGTTTAGACCATGCCTCCTTTTATGTAACCACGCTCCTTTGTTTCAGGCGTATCAGAGGTTTTTGACTCTAACCCCACCCTACCTCAGATCGTAGGTAACCTGGTCTACTATCGCTACATGAACCCAGCTGTCGTGGCTCCTGATGGTTTTGACATAGTGGACCGCTCTGCTGGCTCCGCCCTGCAGTCAGAACAGCGCCACATACTGGGCTCCATCGCACGCATGCTGCAGCATGCCGCCGCCAACAAACACTTCCACGGAGACGGTTACCACGTCCGAGTGCTGAACCAGTACATAACCCAGACCCACAGCCGCTTTAGGTCTGAGTCAGAACTTCTTTCATTCAAATCCACGTCCACCTAAACACGCTCTAGTGTGTGTGTGTGTGTGTGTGTGTGTGTGTGTGTGTGTGTGTGTGTGTGTGTGTGTGTGTGTGTGTGTGTGTGTCAGAACTCCTTTCATTCAAATCCACGTCTACCTTAACACACTCTAATGTGTGTGTGTGTGTGTGTGTGTGTGTGTGTGTGTGTGTATAAACAGGAAGTTCCTGTCATGTGTGTGTGACGTCCCTGAGCCTGAGGACAGATTCAACATGGACGAATTCTCTGAGCTGCTCATCGTCCACAAACCCGTGGTCTACATCTCTGTAGGCGAGCTGCTGAACACACACAAGGTAACACACACACACACGCACACACACATAATCAGCAGGACTGTGTCTTGGGTCAAACACACCGTAATACTGAGTTAGACACCCCCTTCAGAGATGAATGTTGCCGACCGCTTGCTTCTCTAGTTATACCAACTTAAGTAACGACCACAGGATAGCAATACACAGCGGTCTGAGGTGCTATAAACAAACCTCAACCAAAATGCCACTCTATAGCCACAAATAATGCTCAGAACAGCACCTAACTTCATCAACAGTACATATAGGGTCCCAGCCATAGTACTAGCCACCAAACATCTTTTCAACTTGGCAAAGAGACTAAACACAACTCACCTACTCTCTTCCAGCAGCCGCTTGTTTGTAGCGAGACCTCAGGCCAGTCCATTACGGACTACAGCGGGGTGACGCAGCACAAGGAGGAACATTTATAATCATCACTTTATCATATCCTTGAAGTAATCGCCGATTTTCGCCGATATTTTCAGAAATAAAATGCGGAGAATAAGATTCGGTTTCACTTTGAAAATGTTCCGCCATTTGAAAAGTTCCCCAACTTATCCTGTAGATGGCGCAGCGATCTCATGACAATCTTCATCCACTTACTAGTAGTTGCAAACGCTTTTCTGGTCCAAGTTTGATCAGTTGGTCTTTCTGTTGGCGTGAAGAGCAGTAGCCTACAGTATATCTACAGTATATAGTAATACTGTAGATGTCTACAGTATATATGTATTTTTTATAACTTCATAAAAAATCGTCTGATTAATGGGAATCCCCCCACAATAATTGGCATCGGCCCCAAAAATCCATATCAGTCTGGCTCTATTTCCTAGTACCTCTAAAAGTTGCGTGCGGCAGAGACGTTTTCGGAGCTTTAATAACAGAAAAAAACGCTTCAACAGTGGCCAGTAATTACACACGCACATCAGATAGAATATGTGTACACTTTGCGAAGTGATACATATCAAACAAAGAACATAAAGCACAGTCAACAAAATTTACGCCTACCTAGGCTCACCTCTCCACCCCAGTGCAGGTGAGACCACCCCTTATATAACTTAGTGGCTTTCAAACACAGCCCCACGTGACCCAAACCCAACGAAACCAAAGGTAACCAGACAAAAGTAACTGAACACAGGATAACCGATCAGCAAAGCAACATTATGGCTCCTACACTGAAGTTAGGTGCTGCTCTGAGCATTATTTGTGGCTATAGAGTGGTGTTTTGGTTGAGGTTTGTTTGTGGCTCCTCAGACCGCTGTGTATTGCTATCCTGCAGTCGTTACTAAAGTTGGTATAACTAGAGAAGCAAGCGGTTGGCAACATTCATCTCTGGAGGGGTTGTCTAACTCGGTGTTGCTGGGGTTTGATCCTAAATTAACTTTACGCAGGAATATCCCTTTAATGAATCCAGCTCTGATTCATCCTCTCATTCATGTTCATGTGTTCATTTCTCAGTTGTTGTTGGAGCATCAGCAGGTTTTGTGTCCAGACCCCTCAGACCCCCTCAGACAGCTGCTGAATGACCTGGGACCCGTGCGCACCCTGCAGGAGCTCACTGGTACTGCAGCACTGACACTCACTGATGTCCAGGGATCCCTGGTCCTGGTCCAGCTATTAATCCTGGTTCTGGTTCTGTGTGTTTTCAGGTGAGCTGTCTGCTGATCCGGGTTCAGAGAGTAAGACGGAGGTTTCTCTAATGCTCACCAACAAGTTTGACGTCTTCAACGAGTCAGATGACAAGCAGGACGCCAGAGCGCTGCTGCTCAGGTAGACCAGCGAGTTAGTATGTTAGCTTTATCTGCTCAGGTAGGTTTAGACAAGGCTGTACTGAGCATGCTCAGTTATATCAGCTGAATGGTTTATTTCCTGTTTTTCAGCACAAAGCAGCTGATCATCGACATCATCAGGACTCAGCCAGGCGACTCTCTGAGCCAAATCCTCAGAGCATCTGCATCACATGACCAGGTACACACACACACACACACACACACACACAGATTCAAGTAAACATCAGGTAACCATCCTTTCCTTCACAGCAAGCGTGTCACGATTGGCTGGTGCAGCGGCGTGCTCGTCAGGACGCCCGCACGCCCGATAAGCTGAAGAGGAACCAGTCGCTGGTTGCTAATGGCAACCTGAGTTTGGAGGAGAAGAAGAGGAAGATCGTGAGGAGTCTTCGTCGTCTGGAGGGGCTCGGGGCTCTGAGACCACCACAGACTGAGAACCAGATCCTGACCATGATTGCCAAGGTGAGCTCACCTGAGCCAGTAACAGACCGCTGATGGTGGACCGCCATGTCCTTCACAAGCCACCATACTAAGGCCGCATGACCAGGGAACAACCAATCAGAGTGTAGCTGATTTTAACAAACGAAGTGATAATTAGAGTTTCAAAATAAGACACACTTGATTGATAATGAATGATTAAAACCCAGCACAGGCTTTTATTTTGAAGGTCCACCATGACTTATGAGGGTTTATTTTTTTGAAGGTTTTACTCGTAACATTTGGCTTTAATTTGAACAGTTTATCTAACTTTAAAGGATTTGGAAACTCAGGCTTTTAATCTGAATGTCTGAAAAACTCATCAAGGCAGTAAATATACAGTTCTGACTTTAGTCCTACAGGCTTTTATTTTGAAGGTCCTAAATAGCTCATACAGACTTTTATTATGACGTTTACAAAAAAGGCAAGTACAGACTTTGGGCTTTTATTCTGAAAGTCAAACATTATCATTCAGGCTTCATCCTGAGGGTCGAACATTACTTTAAATGGACAGAGCCTTTTAATAGAGAGAGCATGAGCGAGAGAGCGAGCATGAGCGAGAGAGCGAGCGAGTCCCTACTCCTAGCGAAGACCGAAGCCCTTCACGAGGCAAATCAAACAATTACCACACTCCGTATCCAAAAACTGTCCGAGGAACTTAAATCAAAATCTACACTACTCACAACATGTATGGATGTGGCCCACCAGCAATCCCTCCACCTGTTCTCCCTCCAAGCAACCCTCCAGGACACGCTACCCTGGGAGCCTCACAGCCCAAAGACCTCATCCCGACCGCCATCCACCACAGCACCCAACCAGGACTCAAGCTGGACTGAAGTGATCACTCGAAGTAGGAAAACCAACAACACCATCCCCTGGAACCCAGCCGGGCCTACCTCAAGCTCCACGCCGAGCAATCCACTGCTCCGGTCCGAGATCCTCGCCGGCAGTAGGACAAATCCCTCCAACGATGCCTCTACAGTCCGGTTGGCCCTCTCTAACCGCTTCTAGGCCCTTATGCATCCTCCTAAGCCCGACAGCACCAGCCCGAACCAGTCCCCTCTCCGCGATGACGTGGTGGCGTCCTTCACAGCGGCTGCCGAAGCTCACATGGCTCCTACACGGCCACCCGGCAGAGTCCCCGGACCTTCGTCCTCGTCCACCGATGTCTCCGTGGCGTGCCGGCCCGACGATCTTCTGGCGACCAGCTCCCAGGCGTCACCGGGCGCTGGTGCGAAGAACACCTCCCTTCCGGCGTGCAGGGGGATTCCCGTGTGGCCTGGCACTAGCGGAAGGGGACCCCTCTCCGTCAGTGCCTGGTCGCGCGGTCTCCCGGGAACCGCCTGGACCACCGCTCTGAGAGCCGGACCGCGTCCTCAGCCGCCCGCAAGAGGTTTCTCCGAGAGGCAGTCCGACGGAACTCTGCCGGGCCCGCCACCGCCGCCCCGGACGAAATGGCAGACCATCCCCGCTGCTGCAGGAGTCCACTGCACCGCCGAATTCTCGCAGCCTGGCCATCAGCTCTGCTTCGGGTACAGGAGCCATGCAACCCCCGCCGCTGTTTCCACCCACCACCTTGATCGTCGGTGACAGCATCACACGAGGTATCCGTTTTTTCAATGCCATCACTCGTTCTTTCCCCGGTGCAACTGTCGCCGACATCACGACAGAACTCCCCGTCTTCTCCAGTCACTTCCTCCCTCTATCCACCGCATCATTGTTCACGTCGGCACCAACGACACGGCTCACAAACAGTCTGAACTGACCAAAAGGGACTTCAAATCACTTCTCCACATCCTTCAGTGCAGCGGCAAATCTCTTTAAGTGGTGTGCTACCAACGCATTGATTGTTTTAGCCACCTCCTCAGCCTGAACTCCTGGCTTCGATCACTCTGCAGCACCTCCTCCACCCACTTCATTGACAATTTTAATCTGTTCTGGAACCTATCCCCATTTTTCTCCCATGACGGACTTCACCCAAACAAACTGGGCTATTACACACTTACCGCTAATATCCAACACCACATACACACCAACTGACTAGCATTGTTTACACTCTCTCTGTCATCCTCTTCTTCCTTGCCTGTCACTACCCCACCTGGAAACAGCGCCCTCCAGAGCCCCCCCTCCGAAACCCTCGCCCTCACCATCCCCACCACCGGCTCCCCCAACAGGCCCCAACTGGTACTGCACACCAATCCCATTGCCTCCACTACAGCAAGCTCCCCCTCCCGACCCAAACAGTTACTGCACCCTCCAATCACAGAGACTCTTTGCCATTCTGTCATCTCACCAGGATCTCGCCACAGCTTTTTCATTCAAACAATCACATCTACTAGATCCTCCTGCTCAAATCCCATGCATGCAAAACAAAGGACAAGAAATCAAACAAACCTCCGCTGCCTCACTGCCCACCCCACAGCCCCTTCCCCTGAAGATGGCCCTTCAAAACACCCGCTCCCTCAACAAAAAAGGACACATCCTGGCTGACTTTTTTAACAGACAATAACCTGGATTTCCTCTGTTTAACTGAAACCTGGCACAACCATCTCGATCTCTTCCCACTAAACCAAGCCACGCCCCCCGGTTACTCCTACCTGCACCAACCCCGCCTCACTGGACGAGGCGGTGGCGTCGCATTCATCCACAAGTAGACCCTCAAGACCACCCCCATCCCCACCCCGTCTGTTCACTCATTTGAAAATATTTCTGTCAAACTCCCCGGCCCCACCCCTCTGGTTATTGTCACCATCTACCGCCCTCCAAAGCCCCACCCATCATTCCTTTCTGATTTCTCTGAACTGGTCACCCAACTAAGTACCATCTCATCCTCTGTCCTGCTGCTTGGAGACTTCAATTTCCACATCGATAACCCCACCTGCAAACAAGCCTCTGATTTTCTGGATCTACTCGACACCCTCAACCTCACCCAGCATGTACACTCCCCCACCCATTCCCACGGCCACACCCTCAACCTCATCTGCTCCACCGGCATCTCCATCCACCATCTCTCCACCATCAACCTCTACATATCTGACCCCCCCGCTTCACAGTGAAAAACGACTTATCTCCTTCAGAAATCCATCTCGCCACAGGACCTCTCCGCTTCCCTATCTACCACCCTCACTGCATCCCCTCCCCCACCTCCTGCTAAACTTCATCCACTCCAGCTCCAGCAACCAAAAGACTATTTTCACCACAGTCAAAAAACTTCTCCACCCCATAGACAGCATCTCCACCACCTTCACCCCGGAAAAGTGTAACTCATTCCTCTCCTCTTTTCAAACCAAAATCAACACAATCTACAACTCCCTTCCCCCACCTTCCATTCCCAGCTCCTCCCCTCCTCCCCTCATCCCATCAGCACTCTCCCGTTTCTCACCTGTTTCTCCAAATGACGTGTCCAACATCATCTGCTCCATGTCATCATCCACCTGCATCCTGGATCCCATCCCATCCTCCCTCATCAAGCACTGCCTCCCTGTCATCTCCCCCATCATAACACAGATCATCAACTCCTCCCTCAACTCTGCCACTGTTCCCCCTTCACTCAAACTGGCCGCTGTCACCCCCATCCTCAAAAAACCTGGACTCAACCCCGACGACATCAATAACTTCCGGCCCATCTCCAACCTCCCTTTCCTGTCGAAAATCCTTGAACGAGTCATTGCATCACAGATCAAAGCCCACCTCAACAATAACAATCTCTATGAACTGTCTCAATCAGGATTCCGCACCCATCACAGCACAAAACTGCCCTCATCAAAGTCACAAGTGACCTCCTCATTTCTGCTGACTCCGGCCAACTCTCCATCCTCATCCTCCTTGACCTCTCCGCCGCTTATGACACCATTGACCACGCCATCCTCCTGTCACTACACTCCCTCCTCAATATCACAGACACTGCTCTCAACTGGATCCATTCATATCTCACAGAACCGAATCACTTCATCCACATCAACAACTGCTCCTCCACAACTGCCCCCGTGTCCCAAGGTGTCCCCCAGGGTTCGGTGCTTAGTCCTCTCCTCTTCATCATCTACCTCCTCCCTCTCGGCCACATCCTCCGTCAACACAATCTCCATTTCCACTGCTATGCTGATGACATTCAATTATATATCTCTTCCACCTCCATCACCCCCCAGACCCAACGCTCCCAACTGCCTCACTGATGTCAAACACTGGATGGACAGCAACCTTCTAAAGCTCAACTACGACAAAACAGATCTCATCATCATCGGCCCAAAATCCTTCACCTCCACAGTCACAAACTTTCATTTCTCCATTAAAAACTCCACCCTCTCCCCCTCCCCCCACTGTCGCAACCTTGGTATTCTCTTTGACAGCAACCTCACCTTCACGCATGTAAAGCAAATCACCAAAACAGCCTACTACCACCTCAAAAACATTGCCTGCCTCCGCCCCTCCCTCTCCTACTCTGCAGCTGAAACCCTCATACATGGATTCATCTCATCCCGTCTAGGCTATTGCAACAGTCTCCTCCATGGCACTACCTCCACTCTCCTCAATAAACTTCAGCTCATCCAGAGCCCTGCCGCCCGCCTCCTCACCCATACACGCTCCCACCAACACATCACCCCCGTCCTCCAGAACCTTCACTGGCTCCCCATCCCCCATCGCATTCAGTACAAAATCCTCCTTCTCACCCACAAAGCACTCCACAACCAGGCTCCCCCCTACCTGCAAGATCTTCTCCACCCTTACATCCCCCCGCACCCTCCTCCGCCAATGCCAACCTCCTCACAGTTCCCTCGACCAAGCACCGAACCTGGCGGGACAGAGCATTCTCAGTCGCCGCCCCCACCCTCTCGAACTCACTCCCACTGGACCTCAGAAACTGCACCAACCTTACCAGATTCAGAACCCAGCTCAAAACCCACCTTTTCCGCACTGCTTATCATCATCTTCCTTAGCCCCATAAACCCATCCGTCCCTTTAATTCCAGGACATCCGCCAACAGCGTCTGCACCGTCAGCGGCGAGGGACGGAGCTTCAGAAGCTTCGTCAGACCCTTGGTAGTTTGCAGGTGAAGAGCAACTTCCACAGTGAGCAGGTGGACTTCTACAGACATTACATCACTTCCTGTTTGGACAACCTAACGGCCAGCAGGTACACACACACACAGTTTTTGAAGTTTTCTGAAGTTGTGTTTTTGTATGATACACTCACACACACACTGTGATTGTGTTGTCCAGTAAATCAACCAATAAGAAAGCAGCAGAAAGCAAAGGGAAGAAGAAGCTTCCTGCTCTGAGCTACAGCGCCGCCCGGCTGCAGGAGAAGGGAGTGCTGCTGGAGATCACTGACCTGCCACACACACAGTAAGAACACACACACAGATACTTGAGGGTTTGTTGGTGTCATTGTAAACATGTGAAACCGTCTCATGTGGATCGATCCAAACCAAACTCTTCCAGGTTCAAGAACGTCGTCTTTGACATCACACCTGGACCTGAGACAGGAAGCTTCAAAGTAAAAGCACGGTTCCTGGGTGTGGAGATGGAGGAGTTCCCGTTCAAATACCAGGTAACACCATCCAGGATACTCCAGGATAAGTCCTGAAATCAGGTAGAACCAGGTACAACCGGACTAAAACCAGACAAATACGGACTAGAACTGAGTTTAGATAGGGCAGAAACCCCTCTGTTAAACCATGAAAAAAAATGTTCATAATCTGGACACATCTCAGCTAAACAACACGAGAACTGAGCTAAAGACTAGGATTAAAACTCAGGAACAGTCAAGACCAAAACAGAGTTTAACGAGGTCCAATCAGTGCAACAAAAAAAGGAAAATAGAGGCAGGAGACTAAGATCACCAAGGACACAACCTCAGTGAGTCCGTGACGAAAACTAGAATAAAAACCATGACATAACCCGTGTTTGTCTCCAGCCAGAAACTAGGACAACAACATGTTAAAGAATGGAACTGTGAACAAGGATGAAAAAGCTCCATGTTAAAATCTGTGCAAATTCAGGCCAGAGACTGAGCTCATCAAAAACCTTAGTAAAACAAAACCAGAATAAGCCATGTCAAAACCTGAGTTAAACTGGGACAAATGCTGAGTTTAAAGGGGTAAGAACCAGGACAAAAACCAGGAAAATACTGGTGTAATTAGTACTGGGTCTATCAGGACAAAAATCCCAGTAAAACAAGAACGACAGGCGTCAAACCAGAGTGAAAGAGCCGGGACAAATCCTGGACCAGAGCCCTGTTTTAAGAGTATTGAGACAACTGTAAAAGGTTCACCTGTCAGCCTGTAAAGAGACTTTATGTGTGTATTCTGTGTACAAAGAGTGGGTTTTTAGTGTGTGTGTGTGTGTGTGTGTGTGTGTGTGTGTGTGTGTGTGTGTGTGTGTGTGTGTGTCCCAGGACCTGCTGCAGCTGCAGTATGAGGGCGTGGCAGTGATGAAGATGTTTGACAAGGCGAAGGTCAACGTCAACCTGCTCATCTTCCTCCTCAATAAGAAGTTCTTCAAGAAATGAACCAAGTGACACTCTCACTTTACACTCCTCTCTTTGTTTTATATCTCACTACACATTTTATACACGTCAATAAGTGACAGAGTGAGGCATCTTTACCCTTCTATCTGTTTTTTTAATCCTACCACAAAATCCTTATTTATGCATTAAAATAAATGACAAAGTGAGGCATCTTTACTCTCCCATCTTTGTTTTATATCTCACTATAAAAGTCATTTTTATACATGTCAATAAGTAACAGAGTGAGGAATCTTTCCAATCCTATCTTTTTTTTATCTTACTACAAAATCCACATTTATGCATGAAAATAAGTTACAGAGTGAGGAATCTTCACACTCTTCGTTTTATACCTTGCTACACATTTTATACACATCAATAAGTGACAGAATGACGACTTTCTTACCTTCCTAGCTTTGTTTTTTTTTTCATCTCACTACAAAATCCATATTTATGCATGAAAATAAGTGACAAAGTAAGGCACCTTTACACTCCTTTTTTTTTTATCTCACTACAAAATCCATATTTATGCATTAAAATAAGTGACAGAGTGAGGCATCTGTACACTTCTATCTTTGATTCATATCTAAAAACATCATCTGTTTTTACACATCATAATAAGTGACAGAGTGAGACATCTTTATACGCCTGATCATGTTTTTTTTATTTCACTATATCAACGTTTTTAAATGCACCACTGTTTTTAACCACATTATTTAGTCCAGAGTGAGGCATCTTGATTATAAAACTATCTTTATCATACTGTGTTTGGATTTTGCTTTGCTCTCTCGCTCGCTCTCTCTCTCTCTCTCTCTCTCTCTCTCTCTCTCTCTTTCTTCTGTCTGTTTGATCTGTCATCAGTTTTTTTTTTAAAAATGACAGATTGGGAACTCTGCTCTCTCTTTCTATCTTTGTTTTCATATCTCTCTGCATCTCCTGTTTATCAGTCAGCAGATTGTTTTTTTAATGTGTATTTACAGATGGCTGATCAATAACTGTAAATATTTTCTGTCTCTTTTCTGTCTGTCAACACAAAGTTTTCTGTTTTTTCACTTGAATAAATTTAAGCGTGGTAAGCTGATCATAAAATTGTTGACTCAGGTTAATGATCCAAAAACTCTGAAACCCTTGATCAGACCAGAATGAGAGGACTACAGAGGGTTGGTTAAAGAAGAGCTGAGGACACACAGTAAAAAAAACATGAATCTTTGTTGATTCAGTTTTTCTCTTTAGAAAAATGTTTCTGACGTTGGTTTAAAATGAGCAGAAAGATTTTAGATTTGATTCAAATCACCAAACTTTCACTTTTTATCAATATTATTAGTTTCCTGTTTTCAGTCTCATTGATATTTAGCTGTGAGGGTCACCGACAGAAGGCAGGGTTAGGATGCAAGAGGTGTGGCCATTGTGCTGTGGGCAGGGCCAATGTTGGTCAGATGACCTCGGTGTTGTACTCTTGAGTCTTCACCGTCTGTCAAAATCAGGTGACAGAAAAACACTTTTTCAAAGGTGAGAACAGGTGAAGTGCTTCTTAATTACCTCTGACCTCACTAAGTCACCTCATAGTCATTGTCTGGAGAGGGCGTAGGTATGGGCGGGGCTTCATATCCAGGTAGAGTCCCTGTCCTCTCAGAAGACTCTGTGATTGGTTGAGATTCTCCCTTCTCTGGTTGGTCGTTGGTGATGCTCTGCAGAAGAAGAAGACAGCGGACGGGTGTGATCCTGAAGAGTCAGAGACATCACATGACCTCCTGCTGCAGGTGAACTCACCTGTTTCCTGGACCGACTCTCATAGACTTTACTCATCATAACAGCAAGAAGCTGAACAAAGCAGAGCGGGACCAGAACCACCGAAAGTCTCTGAGTCAGAGCCTGGAACCAGAACCAACAACACTCAGTAATGACCTCCAGGGTTTGGGAAACTGAAATGATCCGCCAACAAGATTTTGTCACATTTGGTAGGCTCCACCCATTTCTATATCATCATCATCATTAAAATCGAACACCAGATCAGCCATCTGATAAAATTAAGATCCGAACAGGGGCAAAACTTCAACCATCTTTAAAAAAATTCTGATTAAAGGTGTGGTAGTCAAGATCTGAGGAAGTTCCAGTTTTTAGGAGAAATCTTGAATGTGAACTGTGAACTTCCAATTAAATTCAGATATAATGCAGATAAATACTTCAGATAATTACAAATGGGGCCCAGTCAACATGAAAGTAAAAAGCATTGGTGCTACTGTTGATGCCAACAGACTACTAGCAAACACAATGTTTGCAGGACTTCTACAACTAGGACAAAGTGACAAAGTCCAGGACCCGAGGTCAACAGTTTAGCGGCGCTACAGCAGGTCCCGTTTGACAAGATACACTTCTGTTACAGACACTTGGCTTACTTTGTTAAAGCGGTTTACCTGTCCAGCAGAAAAGTTACAGGGTCACTAAGATCCCGAAGCGTCCCCCATCGTTTATGTTGACCTGGCTTTTTAGCTCCTGTCAAGTCTACCTTCTTTTTAAGCGCCCGTTATTCCACCAGAGTCTCCGGTATTTACTTCGTTTTCTTGCCTCATGTTTGGCAGTCGTGGCCAAAGGAGGATTCAGACTAGGGCTGGGGCGATGTGTTTCTGCTGAGCCTCACAGACACTGGATTGATACTTTGACTTTACAGTTTGGGATGATTCAGGTCGGTTTAATCTGTAAACTAAACATTGTTTGTTGTAAAATGAACACTTTAATGAAAGGGAAACAAACCTGAGATCTGATATTTACGTAGATAGTCTTTCACCGTCCTGGAGTGATGTGTTCAGGGCAGCCTTGATAATAGAGTGCTGTATTTCACGCACAGATGTTCAGAGAGACTCATACAGGAGAGCATGTAAAACATGAGGACTTTGACACTAATATTAGTGACGCAGAGAAGAGCTGATCAAGTGATCACAGACACAGGTGACATCATCTTACCCAATCAGGAAATGGTCCGTAACAGACAGGCACATAATAATTATAGTTGATGTAATTATTGTAGTGATTTGAAATGAGCCTCATACGGTCGCACCAAAATATATGTAGCGATTTGAAATGAGCCTCACAAGGCCGCACCAAAATAATACTTGGCGATTGGAATTTATAATAAATGTCTGAAGATTAATAATCTCAAATTATGACATTTATGCACTCGTTGAAAGGGGCACCACCCACCCTTAATGGTGGGAAAATAAAGAAAACAAAAGTTTAATTCAGAAATCAAACATCAAGTCAGTTTTAATTAATCAGTCTTAATTAATCAGTCTCATATCTTAAGTCGAAATTCTAATTTCAGGGACTCCACTTCTGGAAGAACACTAACAGACCAGAACTTAGAAAAATAATTATCTGTTTATTACAGGATAAATGATGGTACAACACACATGCAATAAATGATAAGAAGATAATGAGGATAAAATAATAATAGGTGAATAAATAAAGATTCTGAGTCAGGCTAGGAGCACTAAAGTTAATGATAGTGAGTGAATATGCGCTAACATATTAACCTACACTAACTTTGGTGTCGAGATAAACTCGGATGTGGATTTGGAGGAATCTAAGATTACCAGAATAAGAGGATATCTGAGTTATGAACGCACGAGACAGCACCAGCCCTCTTTAGAGCTCTGGAGGTTTGCATACTTAAGTGAGACTGGTCCTTGGAGAAGATGGAGCAGGTTCCGAAGGTCCGGGCTACTGGCGGTTCGAGCGGTTCAGCTCAGAAGACGACTGAAGTCAGCCGAAGGATGAGCCAGGAGTTGCAGCACTCAGGCCCGAAGCAAAAACCAGCGCCTGTGGATCCTGTGGATGCTCGTTTGGGTACTTCTTTAGTCTCACTCAAAAACTCTGGCACAGAGGATGACCTGGGCCTGTTGGATTGCGTTCGGAGGTGACTTTGAAATCACGCAGAAAACTCAGAAAAACGAGGCTCGAAGAGCAGAGAAAACTTTCAAAAATGGCTTCGCGAAATTAAAGAAAATCAATCAAAGGCTTAATCTTGAATTGCTATGTGCACAAAAAGTTGAAGTTTCAAAACTTGAACTAAGACGATGTTAAAGAAAAATCAACGTGAATCAACACGTGGCGTAAAACTTAGAAGACTAAGAAAAAGTTCTAAGAGAAAACAAAGAAACGCACCACAGAAGGGTGTGGGCAGAAGAGAAGGGGCATAAGAGCCGGGGACAAGAGAGTCAGCAGAAGAGCAGAAGCATAAGAGAGATAAGAGAGTGAGCAACCCCACTCCACTGGTTTTATCTTCTCACACTGGGAGTGTCTGAGGAGAAAGAGGAGGGGTCGTGGAATCTCTGATTATTTGATCTAACTTATTCTTTTGGCTGGTAAAAGAGTCAGATCTGATACTCACTCACTATGATTAATATCATTGAATGCTTGGTTTCATGATCAATAATTTGATACTAAACACATATGAATGAAGTGTAGGATCACATCAAACATTCTCATTATGTTTCAAGTATCACAATGAACATGCTAAATTACTCTGAAATGAAACAGAGAGTAACACATGGAAACTGTGAACAACAAAAGAGTAAACACATGAATGAACGTCATCATGATTAATAATGGATTCTAAATACTCACATTCAGATTATTCAGTGACATTATAACCACCTAATGGTTAAAAATACTAAATAAACATCTACAATATAAACCAAACATTTCTAAACTGTTTCTGTTACCTAGAGTTAAGTTATGATTCATAGTCGATAAATTTAACTCTTAAAAGTTCATGAAACAGTCTGAAAAGCTGTTGGTCTAAAGAAACTAAAGAATAAAGGATTTATTCTGTAACTCGGCTTCTGGAGCACATAGAAAAACGGAAAACATCTCATTTTAACACAAAGTTCATGATTAGACAGATTAGTACATTGCTGAATGCATAAGATGTCATGATCAGTCATTTGTATTCTTTCACCAAAGGAATGTAGTCTTTATCAGTGCATGGTCGAGCAGGGTTTTACGAC